CAACGGATGTGGCGCGCGTTGCTGTGAGGGACGGCGGGAGCCGACAAATCCCAGCGGGCTACCCGCTGCGCCGGTCATTGTCGTGTTCAGTCTCTACTCGGCTCAAGCCTCCCGCAAGTCACGTGACTCATACCTGCCAACCCCTTAACAGGTATGAGTCATACCTTATTACAGACCAATTCAGACCTTATTGGTCACCCCTTGGGCTTATAAATTCAAAGTTCATCCCTCTCTGTGTAAAAAAATCACAAACGCTGCTCCGTCCGTGCAGCTGCTACATTCTGCTCGCTCCTCTCCCTTTTTCACCCCTCCTCATCATCGTCCCCGACGTCTTGGACCGCTCATTCTTCTCTCACTGCCCCTCCTTCCCCTTCGTTATTCCTGCTGCTCACATGACCCGGCATCCCTTCACTTTACCGGTCACCTTGCCCCCCCCCCCCATCTGCCTTATTGCAACAACTGACTCTACTCCGTTCAACACGTAGTAATCGGCTTTCGCGACCAATATTATTCATAATAAGGGTTTTATGGTTTAGATCGTGTTAATACAAATGTGTCGTTAAACCCGCCACAATCCGACACCAGCCGATTGGTAAGGGTTTGTCATGCAAACAAAAAACGTCACAATTCGAGTAAACCCAGAATATTTACATTTTGAGGACTGTAACGTTTCGGCTGGTGATCACGACCGGGTTCATCAGGCAATTTCCCAGAATTGTGAGAAAGTCTTCCCACTTCTGGTCTTAAATAGAGCAAGATGATGTGATCAATGTGTGCCTATCAGGTGCAAAGATCATAGGGGGCAGGGGGGTTAATGTAATCATAAATTATAATGGGTTACGCGGATATGGTAATACGCAGTACACATTATGCAGTATCCAAAAACCTTTATTATGACTCTACTCCCCTGTGTGTGCCTTGAGAATACAACCTTCTATATTCAACAAAGACAAAGATCCCCTGTATAGCCTGAACAGACTGTTGGGGCAAGTGCTGTTAGCGAGCGCCTATGAAGGCGGGCACGGCACACCAGGGGGTGTGTCGCCAGCACCACGCCCGGCTGTCTTTGTCTCTCAAGTGGTGATCTTTACACACCATGCCAGGTACTCGATTGAGGCTGAATTGTTCCCATTTGGATAATCGTCACAGGTGTTGGCCGTCGGCCGGAATCGAACTCGGGTCGCCGGTTTCGTAGCGCAGCGTAGCGCTAACCGCCACACTGCGGCTCCGCCGCGTGATAGATTCAACTCGCACCAATGCACTGACGCACGATTCAACGCGCTTCACCCCAGGGCGCGAGCCGTGAGCGAGGGGGCGCTGGCGGAGCGTCACGGGCCGTCACTCACTCGTCGGTCTCTTGGGGTGACCGAGAAGGACTGGCGCTGGCTCTGTAGGCTGGCGGGGATATGCTGGACGGCTGTCCTGGGTGATTTTGGATGATGCTTCCAGGGCCCCTGCCTGCGGAGGGCGTGCGAACAAAAAAAAAAAAAGAAGACGTGTCTGTTTCACATCTGCAAAAAATTATTTCAATGCATTTTGTTTTTTTTTAACGTGAAAGAAAGGAAGGCGCGCGCGGCGCACGGGCAGGCAACAACAACGGGAGAACGTCGTCCGTGTTACATCGCAGGGTTGTCTGAAGACACATTTCAATCTGTTCCCAGCTTTAGGCTCTGCCCCGCTGCCTTTTGCAGCCAACTCGAGATTTGTCCGGTGTCATGGGAACCTGGAGGGTGGGAGGGAGGGCAGCGGTGGCCCGGATAATCGGAATCAGGATTAGAATATTTATTTAGACTGCAGAGGAATCCGATGAGCTATGAAGCTCTTTTTTCACAGATGTCCAGTCGGGCGTGAGGTCAGAACGTTACAACAATCAAATACTAGATTTGAAGCTTTCGTGACTCCAAGGATCCATACTCTTTGTTCTATTCGGTAAAGTCACTTAGGTAAAAATAAAATAACACAAATCACGACGTTTCGGCCACAACACAACCTGATGAAGGCCACTTGTGTTGTGGCCGAAACGTCGTGATTTTTGTTATTTTATTTTTTACCTACGTGACTTTACCGAATAGAAAAAGAGTAACAATCAAATAATACAAAAATATTATCGGAGTGAAAAGTCTAGGAAAGGTAAGCAAATCACCCAAAAAATGTACACATGAAGACTAAACTATTTTATTTTACCAGGTAAAGCCCACTGAGGTATCAGCTTCTATTTAACCAGCGACCTGGCCGCAAATGATAGCTCAACGAAGTGGCTTGTCACGTGGAAATGTAGAGCAGCCAAATACTCTAAATAATCGAATAAACTCGCGGAGAAATCCAAAGCATATGTGAATTTGGTTGCAGCGCGTATTTATTGTCTAGCTCGCGAGACTGGGGGGTGAAGATGTAGAATACGCCATCTGTTTTCATTGCTTCATCAAAGTAACCAGTTTACTTGCAGACGTTTCTGCAGTCACATGGGCACCCTCGAGTGAGGAACAGCTGGTCAATTAACCAGGGCGTGTGAAAGGTGCGAATGAGCGAGGTTCATCCACAACCCGGAATTTCAGCATCCTATCGAATGCCATTAGCCTATCACTTGATTATCAAAGGTGCGATTAGCATGCTTGGCTACGTACGGCGCGAAGGAAGTTCAACATACGCACTTACATATGAAAATGAGTGTGATCTCATCAGGGTTGCCACCTGTCCAGGTTTCGGGTGGCAGGAACTGATTTTTAGAGAGATCTACTGCAATAAACTGCACACTTCTCTGATAGTCCTAGGCTGACTGAGAAATATATCTGGGTTTACTCTCACTCTAGTTAACATGTAATGGTGGTTTCTATGATACAGTATAAAAAACTAAAATAAACTATTTTTATTATACCAGGTAAGGCCCACTGAGCTACAAAGCTCTTTTTCAGAAGCAACCTGGCACAGTGATAGCTCAAAGAAGTGGCTTATCATCATATGGAAATTTATAGCAGCCAAATACTTTAAACGCACGTTTCTAAATGTGGAGGGCCCGGACAAAATCCACACGACCACGGGGAGAGAGACACACACAAATTCCAAATATACAGCTGGCGTCAGGGTCGGGATCGAGATCGAACCCACGACCTCCTGTACACCAGTGAGGTAGTTAACATCTCGCAAACCACGGTGCCCCTGACATGGGGGTTGGGAGTCTTGCATGAGGAGGCCTCATTTTGAGTTTGAAGATGCAGGGGCTGAGACAGAAAGAAGAAGAAGCGTGGAGCAAGCGCCCAGAGGGAGAACAGCATGGGCGAAGAGCACTGTTCACAAACCACTGTGTTCATTCCCTTCTCGGGCTACAGCTGCACCAACGCGATTAAGTATGATTGTTCAGCCTAAGCTGTGACCCCCCCCCCTCCTCTCCTAGTCTGCAGCAGGTATGGCTCTACCAGCCATGGCGTTGGCTGGGAAGGCGAAGGAGCAGGAGGCGGAGTGAATCACAGGGTACAAGCAGGACACCTGCATTTGACTTGCTGACTTGCCGTTTACAATATGTGGATGTTATCTGGTATATCCGATCATGATCGTGGCTGTTGATGTTGATGATGACAATGCTGTATTACACAAGGCCCGTGTTGTACAACTCATACTGAGCTCGTCAAGGAGCATAAACCACGACGCAAACTCCGGTTATCCCCGCTGCAGCGGCTTTTGGCTCGACGATCGAACAAAGACGGTCACCACATCACGCGCTTTCAGATGCGCTTCTGTGGCCGTCTGGACCACTCTTTCTTCCAATATTAGGAAGCCACTGGAGCTTCGCTCTTTTAAATCTAGATTGAAAACTATCTTCTTGAGAACTGCTTGTGTTTAGCTTGTTGTCCTTCCCACACATCTTCGGTTAAGACGGTTGCTACGTACGGTGTATAAGAAGTTCGACATAGAGTACATGCTCTCAATGCTATTGGCTGGAAGTGTACCGCAATGTTTTGCCCCTATTCTCATTATCACAGCCATTGCACAACCCCACTCATGGGAGAGCCACAGCGAGCCTCTCTCTCCCCTCATTCCTCGTCCCTCGTTGGGGCCCCGCGTGGTGAGATTTCAACTACCTCGCCTTGTATGCAGGAGGTCGTGGGTTCGATCCCGACCTTGATGCCTGCTGTATATTTAGAGTTTGCGTGTCTATCTCCGCGTGGCCACGTGTATTTTTCTCTCTGTCCCTCCGTTTTCTCCCCTCCACATTTAGTAATCAACATCACGTGTTTAGAGTATTTGGCTACTCATGTAAATTTTCACATGACAAGCCACTTCGTTGAGCTTTCCATTTATGATCGCCAGGTCGATTCTGAAAGAAGCTATGTAGCTCAGTGGGCCTTACACGGTACAAGAGAAAAGAATTATGTTTAATTTCTCTCGTTGGATGGAAGAGGAGCGTGTGCAGCTGATGAGACTCCCGCAGAGAGGTTACCTTGCGGTGTTTTGTGGGACTGCTTGTTCCGGACGAATGCCAGTTTTCCGTTCTTGTAACTTTCCAAAAGTGACAAAATATAAAGGTTACAGATAGACCACACATTTAATTAATAAATACAAACAGATACCATCGCGCGGATGAATAGTGCAGCTTCTCTTGCTTGAAATAACAAAGCACCCGTTACGTAATATTAGATGCTGCTAGGTGACATCAACGACGAAGAGGATTCACCTATAAATGTTTTGCTTCAACACACAGCCCAGCCAGGTAGCTCACAGTCGAATAGGTAAGAGTTAAATTCCTAGTTGGGGGTTGACTCAGCCCACTGGGGTCGATGAAATAAGTACCACTTTTGTGAGGAAGTCCACAGTGGTTGTCCAATAGATATACTACTGTAGATATACCACATCGCTGCTATAGTAATAGGGAATGTCCCACTGGCTCTGGGCTGTAAACAGGAGGTAAGCACTGCCTTTATGCTCATTTGAGTAGAACATTAACTAAACATCGTCTATTTAGTAAATTAGTAGTAAATGAAAGCTGGACAATTACAAAGATCCTATCAGCAAACTAAAAGCAACAGTAATGTTTTTTAAGGATGTACAACTTTTCATGGACACACGATGAGTAACACATGCTTACCGATAGCAGCAGATACACAACCAGAAAAAGTACGAGAATGATTGGAGACAGGCCAGTTAGATTTCTATGGCATGTAGTAATGAGAAAACAAGAGACGGAATGTAATGTTTGACCGAGAAAAACGATCGGTAAAAGAAGCCGGGAAAGACAGCGACTTGAGTGCATAGGGAAATTGAACAATGGCTGCAACTGGGAGTATTATGCAACTTTCTTGAGTATATAACATAATGGACAGAAACTAATTTGAAAGTTCATGATTTCCGACTTCTTTTAGAAAGGACATGGCACATACCGAAAGAGAGAGAAATTAGCAAATGGCAAAATGAGTGAATGGCAAAATAAGTAAATGCAAAATTTGTGAATGGCAAAATTAGTGAATTGCAAAATTAGCGAATGGCAAAATTAACGAATGAGCACAGCAAACGTCAACCCAAATAACCCCCCAAACACACCAGCAAAAAAACACACACACTCGGAACACGGCAAATGAAAATATCGTGCAAAAGCGCAAACTCGTGGCGACTGTTTGTGAATTGTCACATCAACGTTTGCTGCAACTTAAAGACAGGAGCTGCAGGGTTGATGATAAACAAAGCCACGGCAGGGCATGTGGGTCATGGTGAAGCGGGGAGAGGTAAATTGAACGTAAGAAGGCGCACGGTATAAAACGGAGGGTTGACAGAACACAGATTTCGTGAGATGCAAGAAATAAAAGCGAAAGGACGCGACGACGACGTTTTTGGACCCGATGTTGGGGGGGGGGGGGGGTGGGGCCCCCCACCCCACGCGCCGTCGATCACCTTTCGATCTCCGTCTACGTGCGACACTTCGGCGTCACCCGCGCCGTTCCTCCGGGCGGGCGCTCTAAGACGAATGACGGCTCGTTTCGTGGGCTCTGCGCTCCTACCTGATGCTTGTGTCGGCAACACGGAGAGACGCGCACGCAGGCTTTCATCGCACAACGAAACCCCCCGTCAACGACTCAACTGACGCACGATAATATCGACGCGCGGCGAACGTTGCTGGATTGAAAACTCATTTCTTTAAAATTGCTTTTGTGTGTTAGTTTGTTGTTGTTCCTCCGCTACACCTCCGATTAGCGCGGTTGGCTGCGAACGGCGTGAAAGAAGTTCAACACACATGCATGCATATGTGCTGTGAATGTGCAATTATATTTATGATGGTAAGGAGAACCTTTCTTCTTATTCTTGTCCTGTGGGTCAGGCCTGGGGTCTTGACTTTTACGCGAGCTCTGGATTTTCGATGTATTGTTTCTTCTATCGAGGGCTTTGACCGGCTTCCTCTGATCGTGTTGCCAAGCTGTGAATTCGCGATCGGGCATCGAACGGGAATCCCCTCGCGCAGCCTCTGTTATAGCATCTCTGGCATTTTCACCTGCCAGGCAATTAAGACATTCATTAAGTGTCACACATTTAATTGAAACTAATTTTGTATGTTACAATACAAGCAGAAGCATGGAAAAAGACATATAAAAATATGTATGTGTACGGTAAGGCCCACTGAACTACCTGGCCATCACAAATGATAGCTCAACCAAGTGGCTTATGATGTGGAAATTTATAGAATCAACATGACGTTGATTCTAGATGGGGAGAGAAAAACCGGAGGTCCTGGAAGAAAATCCACGCGACCACGGGGAGAGGAACATGCTACTCCAAATATACAGCAGGCGTCAGGGTCGGGATCGAGCCCACGACTTCCTGTCTACCAGGCGAGGTAGTTAACGCCAACGTGGTGGTGTAATTATTAATCAATTAACATCGATTTTTAATTGTCTAAGCTGATGAGACATGCAAAGACTCGGTGTGTATGAAGCAATACATTTGATTTATATACAGTATATTGTATGTAACGGGCTCACGTTAAAGCTGTAGCGGCTAGAAGCTGCTAAATTCCGATAATTTCACTACAATTTCGGCAACTCAGTGGTTCTTGAATCGAATCGCCATGACATCAAGTCGTGAAAATGCTGCGCTAGACGGCCAGGGGGGTCGCGATTAATGGCTATGCCCCCTCCCACCCCCACCCTCCCCCCCCCCCCCCCCCCAGGGTACGTGCATTTGCGCGTGCACGTGGCCGGGGCGCCCAATTACCTCGGTCGGCACGGCGCGCAGTCTTTTCAGTTAGTGACAGATCTGAGAATATGACGTCGGTGGCCACGCTGAGGTCCTCCGTGTCCACGTCCACCTCCGTCGCATTGTCGGCCCCGCCGTCGGCTCGCCGCTCTGCCACGTCCCGCTCGGACGGCTCGTCGAGTGCCTCGGACAGGCTGAAGTCTGCCTCGTCTGCCGTGAGCTCCTCCGTCTCCACCGTGGTCGTCTGGATGACAGTGAGGATGTCCTCCTCGATCATGATCACGGACTCCACCACTTCCGTTGCCATGGGGACCTGTTGGTCTTGCATAGGTGGGTCCTGTGGAAATTCAATTTTCACCTCTGCGCCGACCGCTTCTGGCCGGTCGTCGGTAATCGCACGCTCCCGCTGAAGTGACTCGGCAGCTGTGGTTTTACGTTCTGATTCAACGTCGTTGTCGTCATCGCTGCTGCTGGAGGAGGAGATGAGATGTCCCGCATCTCCTCCACGCGCTTCAGAAGTGACCGACGTGCCGATGATATTGGTCGAAGCAGCCTCGTCATTGACTCCGTCCTGTATGATTGCATTTTCGTTTTTTTCAAAGTCTTCCAATTCAGATGTGTCGTTTGTGATGTCAGCAACGCACGCAGGCATCGATTCTCGCTCGCACTTGAATTCTCCCTCATCCAGGTCACTACTACTACCTTCACCAAATTCTGTCGCAGTCTCAGTCAAACCACGTCTGCCGTCGTTCCGTTCATCCGGCAGGACCCCGGCCATCGTTTCTGAGGGTCTATCAAGCTCATCGTCTCTGCCCTCGCTTTGTGAGATGCAGACCCTGCCCCCCCGTAGATTGCGTGAACTGTCAATGCCATCGGCTAAACTGGTGATGGGCACTTCGAGGGGCCTTTTCTGCCAAGTCGTCTTGGGCACCGCCGCAGTGCATTCCACTTGACTGAGCGCCACCGGACTGGCCACCGTGCCCGGATGCTCATGCCTGCCGAGGTGTTCCACGGCAGGCGGCCCCCCTGAGGACCGCGTGCTTCCGACGGAATCGCCGCTGCCACTGTGGCCACCGCTTGCCCTTTTGTCTCCGGTCCGTCTCGCCTTCGGCTTCGCGCCCGCTGGAGGACAAGGCCGATCCCCCCGAGCATTCTGCGCGCTCGTGGGGTGCCAGGGTAATGTCATCGGGCGGCGTCACGCGCCCCTTCCGCAGGACTCCCCTTGGCCTGGATTTTTAAATGAACGCTGTCTTCAGTTCCCTCTGCAGTTGCATGACTGCATTCTTGCTTTGGTAGATCTTCATGCTTGTCTGCTTCATGTTCAGGCCCGGGCACATCAAGTGAACTAAAAACGAATCAACTGTAGACACTTCAGGGCCAATGTTTTTTGGAGGTGACAGCGGAGGGCAGGTGGCCGAGTAGTTGCTGCCGACGGAGCATTTGGGAGAGGCTCCTGCGGGATACTCGGTGATAAAGTGGTCAGAGTAAGTGCTGTTTTCTGAAAGCTTCTCATCGCCGGCACTCGTGACTTCGGGTAGGAACCTGTGTTCTTCCTTGGCGTCGCTATCTGGGGGTAAGAGGATGGAGGTGACTGTGGGACGTACTCCTCACGACTCAGTTCAAGTATTTCTGGTATATCCTGAGAAGACTGCCGACTGTACTCCTGGTGGAATGACAGGTACTCGTCATCACGCTTGGTTCCATCGCCAGCTGCAGAGCATGGAGGCGAGGTGTGATGTTGGGCGAGAGTGCCGCCGGTCCGTCCGCTGCGTGATGGGCGTCCTCTGAGGCGTCGTGCGACGCTTCACAATCGTCGGGCAATTTGTCCGCAGCCGGAGCGTTCCCATGGCATTCGCTCTCAGAGTCAGGACCCTCAAACTGCTCTTCACGGAAGCCATCAGAGCGCACTGGAGATTCAACAACAAGCAGCATCCTCCTCTTCCTCCTCGTTTGGAACTTCTGTTAAGTTGCTCACAATGATGTTAGGAGGAGCCTTTTTGTTGTTTATTTCTGCGTCCGGTTGTTCCAGGAATCGATGTAATTCGTCACGATTCTCAACCTTAGTATTCAGACATAATTTATCTTGAAAGACTTTGTTCGATTCCCTACGAACAGAATGCACCTGATGCTCAGCAAACGACACGTTGGAGTCGATGCAAGTGTTTGTGGACAGTTCTGGGTCATGCGTGGACGTGTCGTCGTCGCATACGAATCCAGTCGACGCAGGACCCTGGCCTTCATCCACCGAGCTCTGACCTTTCGTTGGGTTCAGGATCTCAGTGGGGTTGAGCATCTCAGTGGGGTTCAGGATCTCAGTGGGGTTCAGGATCTCAGTGAGGTTCGGGATCTCAGTGGGGTTGAGCATCTCAGTGGGGTTCAGGATCTCAGTGAGGTTCGGGATCTCAGTGGGGTTGTGCATCTCAGTGGGGTTCAGGATCTCAGTGGGGTTGTGCATCTCAGTGGGGTTCAGGATCTCAGTGGGGTTCAGGATCTCAGTGGGGTTCAGGATCTCAGTGGGGTTGAGCATCTCAGTGGGGTTCAGGATCTCAGTGGGTTCAGGATCTCAGTGGGGTTCAGGATCTCAGTGGGGTTCAGGATCTCAGTGAGGTTCGGGATCTCAGTGGGGTTGAGCATCTCAGTGGGGTTCAGGATCTCAGTGGGGTTCAGGATCTCAGTGAGGTTCGGGATCTCAGTGGGGTTCAGGATCTCAGTGGGGTTCAGGATCTCAGTGAGGTTCGGGATCTCAGTGGAGTTCAGGATCTCAGTGGGGTTGAGCATCTCAGTGGGGTTCAGGATCTCAGTGGGGTTCAGTATCTCAGAGGGGTTCAGGATCTCAGTGGGGTTCAGGATCTCAGGGGTTCAGGATCTCAGAGGGGTTCATTATCTCAGTGGGGTTCAGGATCTCAGTCGCTTCGACTCGTTCCATGGTTGGCAGCAATTTGAGGTCCTCTGCATTTTCTGCGCTTCCGCCTTTGCGATCCGGAATCGTAATTTCTTAGCGACCTCGGGCTCACGAATGATAACGCCATCCCCTGCTACAGCGCCCTCTGCTTTAGAGGAAGCGGTTTCACTGGAGAATGCCGCTCCTTCGAGGTCACCGCCGTCACGGGCGTCTACTTTAATGCCTGTGAAGGGAGACATCTCAAATCCACGCTTGGCGTCTTGTTCCATCGCGAACTTATGCTCTTCTTCTTCTCCACCGGAAGGCACTTCAGCATATGAACAAGTTTCGCTTTTCTTTGGGATAGGGTTTCCCTCCTTTCCCTCGCTCGAAGTGACATCTGCTTCCAAAGGGTGGGCGGCATTCATCTCAATGTCATGTCCTGGCTTAACACCGGCATCTGCAGGAGTTTCTGTGGGTGGTGTCTCTGTTAAACGACACGAGGCCTGCTCACTTCAGGATGTCGTGATGTATTTATGATAATTATTTTCAATTTATCCTGGTCCAGATAAACTGTGTCATCAGCATGCATGCTTGGTTGTATCTTAAAACGATTACTCTATTACTCAGAGCATAATGATTCATATATATTTAAACAGGAAACCAATAAAGATGCAACGTTGCACCAATCGGCATGTGATTTGAACCGTTGGCCCAACGTTGGACCAACGATGGATCAACAATGGGAAAACGTTGCATGTTTACCACCAAAGCATACATTTCACATGCACATAGTGTTTACTGTACAACGGCAGCTGTAAATACTTATTGCCATCTAGGAATTTGTTTTCGTTGTAAAGCTGCCCAATATGTAGCAACAAACGTTTGTTAAATGTGCAGCGCTTCTGTCGATCCGTAGGACTTTCAAGTATTGCGAGATTAGTGGGATGCATTCAATACTGTATACGGCACAGCAGACGGGTCGACGGGAGAGCACAATGCTGAGGTGTGTGCACCGAGGTCTCAGTGAACTTGGAACGTTAGGCCAACGTTGGCCTGTTTACTCTACTCTTAAAAGTCATTTGATACATTTCAAAACAATTAACCAATAAAGTATATGCAAATACAATGGTAACTTGCAGGTTGTCTCTGTAATGTATTTTTTTGCTAAATTTTACAATGAAATCCAGATAATTTCCAACGTTTGTTTGTGCCTTTAACAATGTACTTACGAATACTCGCAGTGCATTTGATTTGCTTATAAGGGTCATCCAGCACACGTGCCAACGTTGCCCCAACGTTGCCCCAACGTTGCCCCAACGTTGGCACGTGTGCTGGATGACCCTTATAAGCAAATCAAATGCACTGCGAGTATTCGTAAGTACATTGTTAAAGGCACAAACAAACGTTGGAAATTATCTGGATTTCATTGTAAAATTTAGCAAAAAAATACATTACAGAGACAACCTGCAAGTTACCATTGTATTTGCATATACTTTATTGGTTAATTGTTTTGAAATGTATCAAATGACTTTTAAGAGTAGAGTAAACAGGCCAACGTTGGCCTAACGTTCCAAGTTCACTGAGACCTCGGTGCACACACCTCAGCATTGTGCTCTCCCGTCGACCCGTCTGCTGTGCCGTATACAGTATTTGAATGCATCCCACTAATCTCGCAATACTTGAAAGTCCTACGGATCGACAGAAGCGCTGCACATTTTAACAAACGTTTGTGTGCTACATATTGGGCAGCTTTACAACGAAAACAAATTCCTAGATGGCAATAAGTATTTACAGCTGCCGTTGTACAGTAAACACTATGTGCATGTGAAATGTATGCTTTGGTGGTAAACATGCAACGTTTTCCCATTGTTGATCCATCGTTGGTCCAACGTTGGGCCAACGGTTCAAATCACATGCCGATGTTGGTGCAACGTTGCATCTTTATTGGTTTCCTGTTTAAATATATATGAATCATTATGCTCTGAGTAATAGAGTAATCGTTTTAAGATACAACCAAGCATGCATGCTGATGACACAGTTTATCTGGACCAGGATAAATTGAAAATAATTATCATAAATACATCACGACATCCTGAAGTGAGCAGGCCTCGTGTCGTTTAACAGAGACACCACCCACAGAAACTCCTGCAGATGCCGGTGTTAAGCCAGGACATGACATTGAGATGAATGCCGCCCACCCTTTGGAAGCAGATGTCACTTCGAGCGAGGGAAAGGAGGGAAACCCTATCCCAAAGAAAAGCGAAACTTGTTCATATGCTGAAGTGCCTTCCGGTGGAGAAGAAGAAGAGCATAAGTTCGCGATGGAACAAGACGCCAAGCGTGGATTTGAGATGTCTCCCTTCACAGGCATTAAAGTAGACGCCCGTGACGGCGGTGACCTCGAAGGAGCGGCATTCTCCAGTGAAACCGCTTCCTCTAAAGCAGAGGGCGCTGTAGCAGGGGATGGCGTTATCATTCGTGAGCCCGAGGTCGCTAAAGAAATTACGATTCCGGATCGCAAAGGCGGAAGCGCAGAAAATGCAGAGGACCTCAAATTGCTGCCAACCATGGAACGAGTCGAAGCGACTGAGATCCTGAACCCCACTGAGATAATGAACCCCTCTGAGATCCTGAACCCCACTGAGATCCTGAACCCCACTGAGATCCTGAACCCCTCTGAGATACTGAACCCCACTGAGATCCTGAACCCCACTGAGATGCTCAACCCCACTGAGATCCTGAACTCCACTGAGATCCCGAACCTCACTGAGATCCTGAACCCCACTGAGATCCTGAACCCCACTGAGATCCCGAACCTCACTGAGATCCTGAACCCCACTGAGATCCTGAACCCCACTGAGATGCTCAACCCCACTGAGATCCCGAACCTCACTGAGATCCTGAACCCCACTGAGATCCTGAACCCCACTGAGATCCTGAACCCCACTGAGATCCTGAACCCCACTGAGATGCTCAACCCCACTGAGATCCTGAACCCCACTGAGATCCTGAACCCCACTGAGATCCTGAACCCCACTGAGATGCACAACCCCACTGAGATCCTGAACCCCACTGAGATGCACAACCCCACTGAGATCCCGAACCTCACTGAGATCCTGAACCCCACTGAGATGCTCAACCCCACTGAGATCCCGAACCTCACTGAGATCCTGAACCCCACTGAGATCCTGAACCCCACTGAGATGCTCAACCCCACTGAGATCCTGAACCCAACGAAAGGTCAGAGCTCGGTGGATGAAGGCCAGGGTCCTGCGTCGACTGGATTCGTATGCGACGACGACACGTCCACGCATGACCCAGAACTGTCCACAAACACTTGCATCGACTCCAACGTGTCGTTTGCTGAGCATCAGGTGCATTCTGTTCGTAGGGAATCGAACAAAGTCTTTCAAGATAAATTATGTCTGAATACTAAGGTTGAGAATCGTGACGAATTACATCGATTCCTGGAACAACCGGACGCAGAAATAAACAACAAAAAGGCTCCTCCTAACATCATTGTGAGCAACTTAACAGAAGTTCCAAACGAGGAGGAAGAGGAGGATGCTGCTTGTGTTGTTGAATCTCCAGTGCGCTCTGATGGCTTCCGTGAAGAGCAGTTTGAGGGTCCTGACTCTGAGAGCGAATGCCATGGGAACGCTCCGGCTGCGGACAAATTGCCCGACGATTGTGAAGCGTCGCACGACGCCTCAGAGGACGCCCATCACGCAGCGGACGGACCGGCGGCACTCTCGCCCCAACATCACACCTCGCCTCCATGCTCTGCAGCTGGCGATGGAACCAAGCGTGATGACGAGTACCTGTCATTCCACCAGGAGTACAGTCGGCAGTCTTCTCAGGATATACCAGAAATACTTGAACTGAGTCGTGAGGAGTACGTCCCACAGTCACCTCCATCCTCTTACCCCCCAGATAGCGACGCCAAGGAAGAACACAGGTTCCTACCCGAAGTCACGAGTGCCGGCGATGAGAAGCTTTCAGAAAACAGCACTTACTCTGACCACTTTATCACCGAGTATCCCGCAGGAGCCTCTCCCAAATGCTCCGTCGGCAGCAACTACTCGGCCACCTGCCCTCCGCTGTCACCTCCAAAAAACATTGGCCCTGAAGTGTCTACAGTTGATTCGTTTTTAGTTCACTTTGATGTGCCCGGGCCTGAACATGAAGCAGACAAGCATGAAGATCTACCAAAGCAAGAATGCAGTCATGCAACTGCAGAGGGAACTGAAGACAGCGTTCATTTAAAAATCCAGGCCAAGGGGAGTCCTGCGGAAGGGGCGCGCGTGACGCCGCCCGATGACATTACCCTGGCACCCCACGAGCGCGCAGAATGCTCGGGGGGATCGGCCTTGTCCTCCAGCGGGCGCGAAGCCGAAGGCGAGACGGACCCGGAGACAAAAGGGCAAGCGGTGGCCACAGTGGCAGCGGCGATTCCGTCGGAAGCACGCGGTCCTCAGGGGGGGCCGCCTGCCGTGGAACACCTCGGCAGGCATGAGCATCCGGGCACGGTGGCCAGTCCGGTGGCGCTCAGTCAAGTGGAATGCACTGCGGCGGTGCCCAAGACGACTTGGCAGAAAAGGCCCCTCGAAGTGCCCATCACCAGTTTAGCCGATGGCATTGACAGTTCACGCAATCTACGGGGGGGCAGGGTCTGCATCTCACAAAGCGAGGGCAGAGACGATGAGCTTGATAGACCCTCAGAAACGATGGCCGGGGTCCTGCCGGATGAACGGAACGACGGCAGACGTGGTTTGACTGAGACTGCGACAGAATTTGGTGAAGGTAGTAGTAGTGACCTGGATGAGGGAGAATTCAAGTGCGAGCGAGAATCGATGCCTGCGTGCGTTGCTGACATCACAAACGACACATCTGAATTGGAAGACTTTGAAAAAAACGAAAATGCAATCATACAGGACGGAGTCAATGACGAGGCTGCTTCGACCAATATCATCGGCACGTCGGTCACTTCTGAAGCGCGTGGAGGAGATGCGGGACATCTCATCTCCTCCTCCAGCAGCAGCGATGACGACAACGACGTTGAATCAGAACGTAAAACCACAGCTGCCGAGTCACTTCAGCGGGAGCGTGCGATTACCGACGACCGGCCAGAAGCGGTCGGCGCAGAGGTGAAAATTGAATTTCCACAGGACCCACCTATGCAAGACCAACAGGTCCCCATGGCAACGGAAGTGGTGGAGTCCGTGATCATGATCGAGGAGGACATCCTCACTGTCATCCAGACGACCACGGTGGAGACGGAGGAGCTCACGGCAGACGAGGCAGACTTCAGCCTGTCCGAGGCACTCGACGAGCCGTCCGAGCGGGACGTGGCAGAGCGGCGAGCCGACGGCGGGGCCGACAATGCGACGGAGGTGGACGTGGACACGGAGGACCTCAGCGTGGCCACCGACGTCATATTCTCAGATCTGTCACTAACTGAAAAGACTGCGCGCCGTGCCGACCGAGGTAATTGGGCGCCCGCCCGGCCACGTGCACGCGCAAATGCACGTACCCTGGGGGGGGGGGGGGGGGGGAGGGTGGGGGGGTGGGAGGGGGCATAGCCATTAATCGCGACCCCCCTGGCCGTCTAGCGCAGCATTTTCACGACTTGATGTCATGGCGATTCGATTCAAGAACCACTGAGTTGCCGAAATTGTAGTGAAATTATCGGAATTTAGCAGCTTCTAGCCGCTACAGCTTTAACGTGAGCCCGTTACATACAATATACTGTATATAAATCAAATGTATTGCTTCATACACACCGAGTCTTTGCATGTCTCATCAGCTTAGACAATTAAAAATCGATGTTAATTGATTAATAATTACACCACCACGTTGGCGTTAACTACCTCGCCTGGTAGACAGGAAGTCGTGGGCTCGATCCCGACCCTGACGCCTGCTGTATATTTGGAGTAGCATGTTCCTCTCCCCCGTGGTCGCGTGGATTTTCTTCCAGGACCTCCGGTTTTTCTCTCCCCATCTAGAATCAACGTCATGTTGATTCTATAAATTTCCACATCATAAGCCACTTGGTTGAGCTATCATTTGTGATGGCCAGGTAGTTCAGTGGGCCTTACCGTACACATACATATTTTTATATATGTCTTTTTCCATGCTTCTGCTTGTATTGTAACATACAAAATTAGTTTTCAATTAAATGTGTGACACTTAATGAATGTCTTAATTGCCTGGCAGGTGAAAATGCCAGAGATGCTATAACAGAGGCTGCGCGAGGGGATTCCCGTTCGATGCCCGATCGCGAATTCACAGCTTGGCAACACGATCAGAGGAAGCCGGTCAAAGCCCTCGATAGAAGAAACAATACATCGAAAATCCAGAGCTCGCGTAAAAGTCAAGACCCCAGGCCTGACCCACAGGACAAGAATAAGAAGAAAGGTTCTCCTTACCATCATAAATATAATTGCACATTCACAGCACATATGCATGCATGTGTGTTGAACTTCTTTCACGCCGTTCGCAGCCAACCGCGCTAATCGGAGGTGTAGCGGAGGAACAACAACAAACTAAACACACAAAAAGCAATTTTAAAGAAATGAGTTTTCAATCCAGCAACGTTCGCCGCGCGTCGATATTATCGTGCGTCAGTTGAGTCGTTGACGGGGGGTTTCGTTGTGCGATTGAAAGCCTGCGTGCGCGTGTCTCTCCGTGTTGCCGACACAAGCATCAGGTAGGAGCGCAGAGCCCACGAAACGAGCCGTCATTCGTCTTAGAGCGCCCGCCCGGAGGAACGGCGCGGGTGACGCCGAAGTGTCGCACGGTAGACGGAGATCGAAAGGTGATCGACGGCGCGTGGGGTGGGGGTCCCCACCCCCCCCCCCCCCAACATCGGGTCCAAAAACGTCGTCGTCGCGTCCTTTCGCTTTTATTTCTTGCATCTCACGAAATCTGTGTTCTGTCAACCCTCCGTTTTATACCGTGCGCCTTCTTACGTTCAATTTACCTCTCCCCGCAGGTTTCACCATGACCCACATGCCCTGCCGTGGCTTTGTTTATCATCAACCCTGCAGCTCCTGTCTTTAAGTTGCAGCAAACGTTGATGTGACAATTCACAAACAGTCGCCACGAGTTTGCGCTTTTGCACGATATTTTCATTTGCCGTGTTCCGAGTGTGTGTGTTTTTTTGCTGGTGTGTTTGGGGGGTTATTTGGGTTGACGTTTGCTGTGCTCATTCGTTAATTTTGCCATTCGCTAATTTTGCAATTCACTAATTTTGCCATTCACAAATTTTGCATTTACTTATTTTGCCATTCACTCATTTTGCCATTTGCTAATTTCTCTCTCTTTCGGTATGTGCCATGTCCTTTCTAAAAGAAGTCGGAAATCATGAACTTTCAAATTAGTTCTGTCCATTATGTTATATACTCAAGAAATGTTGCATAATACTCCCAGTTGCAGCCAATTGTTCAATTTCCCTATGCACTCAAGTCGCTGTCTTTCCCGGCTTCTTTTACCGATCGTTTTCTCGGTCAAAACATTACATTCCGTCTCTTGTTTTCTCATTACTACATGCCATAGAAATCTAACTGGCCTGTCTCCAATCATTCTCGTACTTTTTCTGGTTGTGTATCTGCTGCTATCGGTAATGCATGTGTGTTACTCATCGTGTGTCCATGAAAAGTTGTACATCCTTAAAAAAACACATTACTGTTGCTTTTAGTTTGCTGATAGGATCTTTGTAATTGTCCAGCTTTCATTTACTACTAATTTACTAAATAGACGATGTTTAGTTAATGTTCTACTCAAATGAGCATAAAGGCAGTGCTTACCTCCTGTTTACAGCCCAGAGCCAGTGGGGACATTCCCTATTACTATAGCAGCGATGTGGTATATCTACAGTAGTATATCTATTGGACAACCACTGTGGACTTCCTCACAAAAGTGGTACTTATTTCATCGACCCCAGTGGGCTGAGTCAACCCCCAACTAGGAATTTAACTCTTAACCTATTCGACTGTGAGCTACCTGGCTGGGCTGTGTGTTGAAGCAAAACATTTATAGGTGAATCCTCTTCGTCGTTGATGTCACCTAGCAGCATCTAAATATTACGTAACGGGTGCTTTGTTATTTCAAGCAAGAGAAGCTGCACTATTCATCCGCGCGATGGTATCTGTTTGTATTTATTAATTAAATGTGTGGTCTATCTGTAACCTTTATATTTTGTCACTTTTGGAAAGTTACAAGAACGGAAAACTGGCATTCGTCCGGAACAAGCAGTCCCACAAAACACCGCAAGGTAACCTCTCTGCGGGAGTCTCATCAGCTGCACACGCTCCTCTTCCATCCAACGAGAGAAATTAAACATAATTCTTTTCTCTTGTACCGTGTAAGGCCCCACTGAGCTACATAGCTTCTTTTCAGAATCGACCTGGCGATCATAAATGGAAAGCTCAACGAAGTGGCTTGTCATGTGAAAATTTACATGAGTAGCCAAATACTCTAAACACGTGATGTTGATTACTAAATGTGGAGGGGAGAAAACGGAGGGACAGAGAGAAAAATACACGTGGCCACGCGGAGATAGACACGCAAACTCTAAATATACAGCAGGCATCAAGGTCGGGATCGAACCCACGACCTCCTGCATACAAGGCGAGGTAGTTGAAATCTCACCACGCGGGGCCCCAACGAGGGACGAGGAATGAGGGGAGAGAGAGGCTCGCTGTGGCTCTCCCATGAGTGGGGTTGTGCAATGGCTGTGATAATGAGAAGATAGGGGCAAAACATTGCGGTACACTTCCAGCCAATAGCATTGAGAGCATGTACTCTATGTCGAACTTCTTATGCACCGTACGTAGCCAACCGTCTTAACCGAAGATGTGTGGGAAGGACAACAAGCTAAACACAAGCAGTTCTCAAGAAGATAGTTTTCAATCTAGATTTAAAAGAGCGAAGCTCCAGTGGCTTCCTAATATTGGAAGAAAGAGTGGTCCAGACGGCCACAGAAGCGCATCTGAAAGCGCGTGATGTGGTGACCGTCTTTGTTCGATCGTCGAGCCAAAAGCCGCTGCAGCGGGGATAACCGGAGTTTGCGTCGTGGTTTATGCTCCTTGACGAGCTCAGTATGAGTTGTACAACACGGGCCTTGTGTAATACAGCATTGTCATCATCAACATCAACAGCCACGATCATGATCGGATATACCAGATAACATCCACATATTGTAAACGGCAAGTCAGCAAGTCAAATGCAGGTGTCCTGCTTGTACCCTGTGATTCACTCCGCCTCCTGCTCCTTCGCCTTCCCAGCCAACGCCATGGCTGGTAGAGCCATACCTGCTGCAGACTAGGAGAGGAGGGGGGGGGGGTCACAGCTTAGGCTGAACAATCATACTTAATCGCGTTGGTGCAGCTGTAGCCCGAGAAGGGAATGAACACAGTGGTTTGTGAACAGTGCTCTTCGCCCAGTGCTGTTCTCCCTCTGGGCGCTTGCTCCACGCTTCTTCTTCTTTCTGTCTCAGCCCCTGCATCTTCAAACTCAAAATGAGGCCTCCTCATGCAAGACTCCCAACCCCCATGTCAGGGGCACCGTGGTTTGCGAGATGTTAACTACCTCACCTGGTGTACAGGAGGTCGTGGGTTCGATCTCGATCCCGACCCTGACGCCAGCTGTATATTTGGAATTTGTGTGTGTCTCTCTCCCCGTGGTCGTGTGGATTTTTGTCCGGGCCCTCCACATTTAGAAACGTGCGTTTAAAGTATTTGGCTGCTATAAATTTCCATATGATGATAAGCCACTTCTTTGAGCTATCACTTGTGGCCAGGTTGCTTCTGAAAAAGAGCTTTGTAGCTCAGTGGGCCTTACCTGGTATAATAAAAATAGTTTATTTTAGTTTTTTATACTGTATCATAGAAACCACCATTACATGTTAACTAGAGTGAGAGTAAACCCAGATATATTTCTCAGTCAGCCTAGGACTATCAGAGAAGTGTGCAGTTTATTGCAGTAGATCTCTCTAAAAATCAGTTCCTGCCACCCGAAACCTGGACAGGTGGCAACCCTGATGAGATCACACTCATTTTCATATGTAAGTGCGTATGTTGAACTTCCTTCGCGCCGTACGTAGCCAAGCATGCTAATCGCACCTTTGATAATCAAGTGATAGGCTAATGGCATTCGATAGGATGCTGAAATTCCGGGTTGTGGATGAACCTCGCTCATTCGCACCTTTCACACGCCCTGGTTAATTGACCAGCTGTTCCTCACTCGAGGGTGCCCATGTGACTGCAGAAACGTCTGCAAGTAAACTGGTTACTTTGATGAAGCAATGAAAACAGATGGCGTATTCTACATCTTCACCCCCCAGTCTCGCGAGCTAGACAATAAATACGCGCTGCAACCAAATTCACATATGCTTTGGATTTCTCCGCGAGTTTATTCGATTATTTAGAGTATTTGGCTGCTCTACATTTCCACGTGACAAGCCACTTCGTTGAGCTATCATTTGCGGCCAGGTCGCTGGTTAAATAGAAGCTGATACCTCAGTGGGCTTTACCTGGTAAAATAAAATAGTTTAGTCTTCATGTGTACATTTTTTTGGGTGATTTGCTTACCTTTCCTAGACTTTTCACTCCGATAATATTTTTGTATTATTTGATTGTTACTCTTTGGTTCTATTCGGTAAAGTCACGTAGGTAAAAAAATAAAATAACAAAAATCACGACGTTTCGGCCACAACACAAGTGGCCTTCATCAGGTTGTGTTGTGGCCGAAACGTCGTGATTTGTGTTATTTTATTTTTTACCTAAGTGACTTTACCGAATAGAACCAAAGAGTATGGATCCTTGGAGTCACGAAAGCTTCAAATCTAGTATTTGATTGTTGTAACGTTCTGACCTCACGCCCCGACTGGACATCTGTGAAAAAAGAGCTTCATAGCTCATCGGATTCCTCCTGCAGTCTAAATAAATATTCTAATCCTGATTCCGATTATCCGGGCCACCGCTGCCCTCCCTCCCACCCTCCAGGTTCCCATGACACCGGACAAATCTCGAGTTGGCTGCAAAAGGCAGCGGGGCAGAGCCTAAAGCTGGGAACAGATTGAAATGTGTCTTCAGACAACCCTGCGATGTAACACGGACGACGTTCTCCCGTTGTTGTTGCCTGCCCGTGCGCCGCGCGCGCCTTCCTTTCTTTCACGTTAAAAAAAAACAAAATGCATTGAAATAATTTTTTTGCAGATGTGAAACAGACACGTCTTCTTTTTTTTTTTTTGTTCGCACGCCCTCCGCAGGCAGGGGCCCTGGAAGCATCATCCAAAAATCACCCAGGACAGCCGTCCAGCATATCCCCGCCAGCCTACAGAGCCAGCGCCAGGTCCTTCTCGGTCACCCCCAAGAGACCGACGAGTGAGTGACGGCCCGTGACGCTCCGCCAGCGCCCCCTCGCTCACGGCTCGCGCCCTGGGGTGAAGCGCGTTGAATCGTGCGTCAGTGCATTGGTGCGAGTTGAATCTATCACGCGGCGGAGCCGCAGTGTGGCGGTTAGCGCTACGCTGCGCTACGAAACCGGCGACCCGAGTTCGATTCCGGCCGACGGCCAACACCTGTGACGATTATCCAAATGGGAACAATTCAGCCTCAATCGAGTACCTGGCATGGTGTGTAAAGATCACCACTTGAGAGACAAAGACAGCCGGGCGTGGTGCTGGCGACACACCCCCTGGTGTGCCGTGCCCGGCCTTCATAGGCGCTCGCTAACAGCACTTGCCCCAACAGTCTGTTCAGGCTATACAGGGGATCTTTGTCTTTGTTGAATATAGAAGGTTGTATTCTCAAGGCACACCACAGGGGAGTAGAGTCATAATAAAGGTTTTTGGATACTGCATAATGTGTACTGCGTATTACCATATCCGCGTAACCCATTATAATTTATGATTACATTAACCCCCCTGCCCCCTATGATCTTTGCACCTGATAGGCACACATTGATCACATCATCTTGCTCTATTTAAGACCAGAAGTGGGAAGACTTTCTCACAATTCTGGGAAATTGCCTGATGAACCCGGTCGTGATCACCAGCCGAAACGTTACAGTCCTCAAAATGTAAATATTCTGGGTTTACTCGAATTGTGACGTTTTTTGTTTGCATGACAAACCCTTACCAATCGGCTGTGTCGGATTGTGGCGGGTTTAACGACACATTTGTATTAACACGATCTAAACCATAAAACCCTTATTATGAATAATATTGGTCGCGAAAGCCGATTACTACGTGTTGAACGGAGTAGAGTCAGTTGTTGCAATAAGGCAGATGGGGGGGGGGGGGCAAGGTGACCGGTAAAGTGAAGGGATGCCGGGTCATGGTGAGCAGCAGGAATAACGAAGGGGAGGAGGAGGGGCAGTGAGAGAAGGAATGAGCGGTCCAAGACGTCGGGGACGATGATGAGGAGGGGTGAAAAAGGGAGAGGAGCGAGCAGAAATGTAGCAGCTGCACGGACGGAGCAGCGTTTGTGATTTTTTTACACAGAGAGGGATGAACTTTGAGATTTATAAGCCCAAGGGGTGACCAATAAGGTCTGAATTGGTCTGTAATAAGGTATGACTCATACCTGTTAAGGGGTTGGCAGGTATGAGTCACGTGACTTGCGGGAGGCTTGAGCCGAGTTAGAGACTGAACACGACAATGACCGGCGCAGCGGGTAGCCCGCTGGGATTTGTCGGCTCCCGCCGTCCCTCACAGCAACGCGCGCCACATCCGTTGTACGACTTTTGAAACGGAGCTTTGGCATGCGCTGGGCCGATGGCAATTTGCTGAGCGGAGTTTTTCAGCCCCTGGGTCGATAAGCCGACTTAGCCAAATTGTTTTTTTCTTTGCTTTCTCATTCTCTTGACCTTGTTTGCAATAAAATTACGCACGAGAACAAATGACGCCTCATTCAAAACATGCATACTTGGTCACCTTTCATGCCGATTCACTCGCAAACCTTCAGAAAAATTAAGCAACGACAAAAACATGTTTGTGCTTATAAGATTCAGAAAATTAATTGCTGACGCTGCGTTTGCACAAGGACAAATTGCAGGTAAACTCAACACATTCGTTCATAACACCGTAACCTTAAAAATATACATACAAAAGGTGACGTTTCGGGCCATGGCCCTTCTCCACAGTGTAATGGAGGTCCACCCGTCTCAGCCTTGAGCAGTGCTCTACGTTACGCAGCCTTATGTCTCCTCTCCTCCCGAAACTTCTAGAATCTCTCCTCACCTTCACCCCAAGTTCCCTCCATCACTCATCCCCCGCCCCTTCTCTCTCTCTCTCTCTTGACCTCTAATCCTCTCCATTTCCCGTTCTTCCTCTCCCGCTCTTTTCATTTCGAATTTCCTGGCCAATCCCCTGGCGCTTGACCCATCCCCGCACTTTCCCGAGTGGCTGTCCGAGCGGCCAATCGGGGGCTCTCCGCCTTTGCGTGCTGCTGGCACCGCCTCGTGCCTCCCAGCGTCGGTAACTCCTCTCGTGGCCCTTCAGCCCGGTGGATTCCTCCAGTCGAAATTTTCCTCCACTCTAAACAACGAGATAGATCCCAAAATTAAACTTCCTTGACCTCGTTTAGTGCTCGAGATGCGCTCCTGAAAAAGTGAGCGCTAATCGAATCAGCGCTAAAAGGGGATGCGTTCTGGACCGCGTACATTTCTTACATATCAGAAATATACGTGGATTTCATTGGAGTGTAGCGCTAATAATACACACGGTAAGCATTATTTTGTATTTTTAAATAATATATTTTAATTAGAATTATATATTTATGTTGGAACTTCTTTAGCACCGTACATATCCAAGCGTGCTAGTCAGTTGGCTACATACGTAAGTAATATGCATTGTTTAACACGTAGGCTTTCGCGACCAATATCATCCATAATAGAGGTTTTTGGGTTAGATCGCGTAAATGTATGCGATCTAACCCAAAAACCTCTATAATGAATATGCATTGTACTCACCAGTGCATCCACCTGACGCTCATACGCCTCGACCTGCCTCATAGCTCGCATTTTAGCATCCAAGGTGATACTTTTCCTTGACACTTTGGTCACATTTCCAGCACTGACACTGTGAAGGCCTTCTTTTTTCAGACATTATGGGCCCACACAAAAAAAAACACGCGGTACTAAGGCTGAGAGGGAGAGACCGAGGCAGATTAAATGGGCGCTGCTTGGCTCAGGGAGCGTGCGTCCCTCTCAATGGCCGAGAGAATGTAAACAAAGCGGGCAGCCGGTGCGTTTCCTCAACGCCGCTGCGTGTTCTCACCCGTGAGCGCTTTCTAGATTGATTTATTCTTCTCCAGGACAAAGAGCGCTATAACGAATCAAGAGTTCTACCAGGGAGTGCTAAGTGAGGTCTGCCTGTACGGCAGTGGAGAGCGCCCCTCGGTATCCCTGACAATAGCACGACGAGAAGCCGGAGTGGTTGAGCGACTACCAGTGCCCAAAACGTCGTCCATTATATTACTTTTAGAGCCACAGTGTTGTTGGCGAGTGTGTTTCATTTTTTGGTTTGTTTACAAGAGCTATACTCAGTCTCTAATTTCACTATCGTCTTGTCCTTACAGCATCGGCTCAACGTGCGTGCCTTATCCATTCCGGCCTGAACACTGCATCACAGCACAATCATAAAGGCACATATGGGATTCTAATTATATTCCAAAAGTAAGCGGAGTGACTATTGAAGGTCCGTGACATTGCCAGCAACTCCACGTGGCTCACACACCGGACCTTGTCCAAACCTTCCATCCTCATCGTTCATTTCCATTTACGACGAAGTGCAAAATAAACACCACCTCATTCGAGATCCAAACATCGCACCTCCTGGCTTTGACATCGCTCGAAGACACCAACGGTGTAACCATCAACCCGCATCACAACATCAACTGGCCGATGCGCACATCATCTATTCATGAATTAAAAACGAAAGACACGGGAGTGCGATTGTGGCCATACATCTGAAACTACGAACCGTATAGTGAACCACTGTAGTCTGCGCTCCTTCAATGGAAGAAAAGCAAACATTCACAAACTCTCCCCAGAAGCCCTCTCGTGGCTAGCAGCAGACCTCAACATTGGCACTTAGCTCCTGAGCATATTTCTGCAATATGAATGAATAGAATAGTCAGTTTATTTCGGTTAAGGTCCATTGATCTTAGAAGCTCGTTTTCAATGGCAACCCATTGACTTAATTAGATTTTTAAACAAAACTGTATCGTACGCTTATTTTGACTGGCAAACAAAAATCCACTATTAGACATCTGTTGTGATGTGTTTCATTTACTAGTCTAGGACTACTCCAGATGCAGGGCAGCCATGTAGACCATGTTGACTGGAAAACTTAGCTCATGGGAATTAAAAAAGAAACCAGATATTTATTCCGTAGCCAAACAGTAATGTATATACATTTTCTTTGTATCCTCTCGTTCTAGGTTTTAGAATTGATGGGAAAATGAGTGAACCCCGCAAGGTTGCAGTGAGCCTCTACCGCTCCTCTTCCGCAGCAGGTAATCACACACACACACAGCATACGTGAGCTCTAGGACAATTCCACTGTTTGCATTTTTGTTGCTGCTGATGGTGTTGCTGTGCGTGCCACTGCTACATTATTGCTGCTACACAAGCCACTGAGGCTACATCGTTCGGTGAGCATCACGTCTATACTTGCTGGTAACATCCACCATCCTGCTACATTTCCACTCGTGATTCACCATTTGCCTCTGTGGGCAACGGAGACTGGGGTGGTACGAGTGGCGTCTTGAGCAACAACCGCTGTTCAAGTCAAACCCGAATACGGTTAGAATGTGGATATTAATCAAGGCTGCCCGAAAGCTTGAATCTAAGCGAAATGTCCTCCTCGCCGAGCACGGCCTGGACAAACTAAAACTAAACTTAACTTTTGCGTCGAGTCTGGTAATCCGTTCGATAGCATTCGTATATACCTCCTGTGTAAGGGTGTAAAGAGGCCAGTGGTCAGTTCTGTGATGAGCATATCACAACTCCACCACGATCGCAATCCGGCCACTCTCTCATCCTCCATGTGCGAGCGAGATAACCGCACCCTGCTGTGTGCTTCTCGAACGCGATTAGCTCACAGCGCCATCGCCTTCCCCATTCCTGCGTCGGGTCTTCACCGGCTGTAAGTGAGTTTACATTAATATTGTAATTCTATTTTACTGAGAGCCATTTCCTTCCCCGTTCAAGGAGCGCTCGCGATCCGCAGCAAGCCCACGACCCCCAGCGCGTGTGACGAAAAACTGGGGACGGCCACGGCACCGAACACCCCGGGCACGCCGAGGGCCTTCCCCCCGATGGCCCCGGGCACCCCGCGGGCACTGCCGCCCCGCTCGCGCACCCCGACCGGCCTCCGCTCGCAGCAGTCGAGCCTCTCGCTGCCGCTGGAGAGGCGCGCCATCGCTGTCGTGCGCACGCCGCCCAAGTCTCCGTGCCTCTCACGTGGTCAGAGCCGGCCCCTCTCCGCTCCGCTGCCCGACCTCAAAAACATCAAGTCCAAGGTCCACTCGACTGAAAATCTCAAACACCAGCCCGGGGGCGGCAAGGTAACCGTCGGCTCAGGGGGGAAGGGGATCTGCTGCTGCCATTACCGCCAGCACCTCCTCCGTGGCTACAAATTTCAGTCGATATTATTCGGATGCGAAAATTTAAGACAGGCAACAGCAGTGTGCGTTTGAGCACGTAGCAGGGCTTTCGCGACGCAGTGTTAATTCGTACGAATGGTTTTGGGGGTTAGATCGCGTGAATGTAAATGCGTCGTTAACCCACTGACACCACCAGCCACAGCCAATTAGTAAGGTTTGTCACGTAAACAGTACCTGCCTCTTCGGTACTACTTCAGCACACCGGTGTGTTGGAGAGTAAACCCACTTGTAAGTGTTGTGGGTTTACTCTGGTGGTGGGTTAATGACGCATTTATTTATATTCACGTGATCTAACCCACGAAACCTTTATCAACAGTAGTGCGATTGTGGCCATACAGCGCAGACTGGGTGCCGTATAGTAAACCACTGTAGTGTGCACTCCTTCAAAGGGGGAGGGATAGCAAAACTACATGAACGCTCTCTCCTGAAATCCTCTCGTCGTGGCTAGTGGACGTCGACATTGGCATTTAGCTCCTGAACATATTGTCATCATACGCAAGAGTGCAACGGAACAGCTTGTTTCGGGCAAGGTCTGTTGAGCTCAGAAGGTCTTTTTCAATGGGGACCCATTTCAGATATGACTGATTGTGTGTTGGCGCATTGATGTGTGTTGCATATATGAAGCTGTTTACCCGTGAAAACACCACGTGATGGGGAGTAGAGTCATAAAGGTTTTGGGTTCTGCATAATATGTGCAGCACATTGTCATATTAACCTAATACATGATGCATAATACAGGTTTTTTGGGTTAGATCGCGTAAATATATAAATGTGTCATTAAACCCACCACCATCCAACATAATGTATTATTTGATGATACACTTCTAAGCAGCACTACGTCTGTAGCTATCCGAATGGTTAAAACCATTATTTTCTCAATTTCGATAGATTCTCTAATTAGTCTCGGCTTGTAGTACTACTATCAAAGGTTTGTTCATGAAGCCATCCAGATATATAAACATAGACATAACTTGAACCGAGAAGATGGATACAAATTGAGCAATCATTGGAAGGATGTTATTAACCAGGTAAAACCTTAACTGTTTATGGTTGTTCCATCATATCTGCCGGGTACTAGTCTCTTTTTCCGAGTTAATTTCCCCCTGCATCCCCAGCTTTCCCAGCCTCCCACTTCTGGCCCCGCCTTACCTTCCCCCCCCAGCTTCACGTTCTCTCTCCCCCTAGCGCTCACGCAGCGCCCATCCCCCCATCCCCCCCCCCCTCTCTCCCCCCTTGCTCCTCCCCCCCATTTCTTACCTATACAACCTCTTGCCACAGCAGCTCTCTCGCCCACTGCATTGGCATTGTTGCTGTATTGGCATTGCTGCTACATTGGCATTGTTGCTGCATTGGTATTACTGCTACATTGGCATTGTTGCTGCATTGGCACTCGTGCACCGCCCATGCTCCTGGTGCTGTTGATACACTTGGGCTACACCCATCTCCAAACCTTTAGAAACAGTTTACCTTTAGAGGCTTACTCCTTTGCCTGATGACGACCGCTTGTGTTGCGACCGAAACGTCGTGATTTGTTTTATTTTATTTCTAACTACGTGACTTTCCCGAAATAGCCAAAGAGTATGTTATTCGGACTCCAATTGAAATGTCCAATGGGCCAATTGGAACACGATCTGACGTTGCTCGCGTCATATTCCGGCCAATCCGATTGAAGTTTAGAAGAAGTTCAGAAGTTAATTTCTTGAGCGAAGGGGCCACACGGCTCTTCTTGAAGGGCGACGAGGCCAACAGACAACAGAGGCGGCAGCGCAACAAGTTATACATGCCCTTAAAAATATATAATTCCAACAATATTTTTAATATAAGCATTTCTACAAATGTCTAGATAGAAATGTGATTGGTTTAAGTTGTCTAGATATGTTTGTGCATAGAAGAAGACCTGTTTATGCAGGCAGTGATGAGAAGGAAGCTGGCACCATTTGGACACATGTGTAGGATGGACAACAACAAGGACATTAAAAGTGTGTTAATCGGAAAAGTGGAAGGAACAGGAAAGAGAGGAAGACCTCACAGAGAGTGGATTGACAATGACATCATAAGACATTGGTACCAGAAAGATGTGGCACTACTTGAGCATATTTGCACAATACAGAGGAAAGTGGAAACCAATGACAAAATGTTCAGCAGACACCTACGGACTATCTGCCCTTGGATTGTGATGATGATAATATATGTTGATTGATTAAACCACTTCTGGTTTTCTTTGGCACACTGCTGCCTGTGTTTCGACAGCTGCACATCATCTCACACACAGCTGTCTGTGTTTCTACAGCTGCACATCATCTCACACACACAGCTGTCTGTGTTTCTACAGCTACACATCATCTCACAGACACAGCTGCCTGTGTTACTACAGCTGCACATCTAACACACAACTGTCTGTGTTTCTGCAGCTGCACATCATCTAACACACATAGCTGTCTGTGTTTCTACAGCTGCACAACATCTAACACACACAGCTGTCTGTGTTTCTACAGCTACACATCTAACACACACAGCTGTCTGTGTTTCTACAGCTGCACATCATCTAACACACAGCTGTCTGTGTTTCTACAGCTGCACATCATCTCACACACACAGCTGTCTGTTTTTCTACAGCTGCACATCATCTCACACACACAGCTGTCTGTGTTTCCACAGGTGCACATCATCTAACACACACAGCTGTCTGTGTTACTACAGCTGCACATCATCTAACACAGCTCTCTGTGCTACTACAGCTGCACATCATCTCACACACACAGCTGTCTGTGTTTGTACAGCTGCACATCATCTCACACACAGCTGTCTGTGTTTATACAGCTGCACATCATCTAACACACACAGCTGTCCGTGTTTCTACAGCTGCACATCATCTCACACACACAGCTGTCTGTGTTTCTACAGCTGCACATCATCTAACATACACAGCTGTCTGTGTTTCTACAGCTGCACATCATCTCACACACACAGCTGTCCGTGTTTCTACAGGTGCATATCATCTAAAACACACAGCTGTCTGTGTTTCTACAGCTGCACATAATCTCACACACAGCTGTCTGTGTTTCCACAGGTGCACATCATCTCACACACAGCTGTCTGTGTTTCTACAGCTGCACATCATCTAACATACACAGCTGTCTGTGTTTCTACAGCTGCACATCATCTTACACACACAGCTGTTCGTGTTTCTACAGGTGCACATCATCTCACACACAGCTGTCTGTGTTACTACAGCTGCACATCATCTCCCACACAGCTGTCTGTGTTTCTACAGCTGCACATCATCTAACATACACAGCTGTCTGTGTTTCTACAGCTGCACATCATCTCACACACACAGCTGTCCGTGTTTCTACAGGTGCACATCATCTAAAACACACAGCTGTCTGTGTTTCCACAGGTGCACAACATCTAACACACAGCTGTCTGTGTTACTACAGCTGCACATCATCTAACACAGCTGTCTGTGTTACTACAGCTGCACATCATCTCACCCACACAGCTGTCCGTGTTTCTACAGGTGCACATCATCTAAAACACACAGCTGTCTGTGTTTCCACAGGTGCACATCATCTCCCACACAGCTGTCTGTGTTTCTACAGCTGCACATCATCTAACATACACAGCTGTCTGTGTTTCTACAGCTGCACATCATCTCACACACACAGCTGTCCGTGTTTCTACAGTTGCACATCATCTAAAACACACAGCTGTCTGTGTTTCCACAGGTGCACATCATCTCACACACAGCTGTCTGTGTTACTACAGCTGCACATCATCTAACACAGCTGTCTGTGTTACTACAGCTGCACATCATCTCACACACATAGCTGTCTGTGTTTCTACAGCTGCACATCATCTAACAGACACAGCTGTCTGTGTTTCTACAGGTGCACATCATCTAAAAGACACAGCTGTCCGTGTTTCCACAGGTGCACATCATCTCAAAGAAGTTGGATCTCAGCCACGTTACCTCCAAATGTCGGTCGATGGACAATATCGGTTACAAACCCGGCAAGTATTAGGAGTTGGTGATCTATATGTGTAACACTGGTTGCTAATTTTATATACGTCGGCTTTCACGGCGAACATGAATTAGTCTGCGCTCCTTCAACGGACGAGTAGCACAACTACACAAACTCTCTCCTAGAGCCCTCTCGTTGTGGCTAGCAGACTTCCACATTGACATTCGACTTCTGAACATATTGCCACGCACAATAATATAATTATTCATAATCTTTAACAATATGTTCAATGAAAGTGATACACCGACCTAGGAACCAGTCATACTCGGTTTGTTTTGGGTTAGTTCGTGTAATATTTAGTATTTTTGTAAAATTTTCTTTCACTTTTTTGTTTGCAATATTTTAAACTCGCAAACGGCAGGTGGAGGGCACGTGAAGATCGAAACGGCCAAGCTGGAGTTCGAGAACATCAAGTCCAAGATCGGCTCTCTGGCCAACTTGGACCACACGCCCAGTGGCGGCAACGTGAAGGTCAGAAAACGACCACAGGGATGCTTCGACATTCGCCGCAAGACGTTTCATTCCACGCCCTTTTAAAGCCACGATCTAAACACTTAATACGCAGGAGGCACACGATTCCCCTCCACCATTGTGAATCGTGCCACGAATAAACTTCAAATAATCTCCCCTCAAACAAATAAGCCGCAGGCCTCACCCCGCCGCCACAAAAAGGGAGCAAGTAATCGGGCGCCATTTTTGACAGGCAGCCATATCGGTGTGCGGTTTACGCAACAGCAGGATTGCTGATATGTTATAATGCACCCCGTTTTATATCAACACAGCAAATATTTGTTGTGCTCTGTGTCAGTGCAATGTTACTTAAAAACTATCACAGTGATTGGGGCACGACTGGTGCACAATATTTGTTTTTCTACAAATCAATAAACAAAGACAAAGATTCCCCCGAATAGCCATAAACAGACTGTTGTGGCAAGTGCTGTTAAAGATCTATTTTCCGTCACGCTTTGAAAGAGCCGGTCGATATAAGTTTTGCCATCCTCCCCAGTGGCGATGTTTACTACACATCACACCAGGTGCTCATTTGAGGCTGAGTCAAACGGGAGAAGGGCTCAGGACCAGTTCAGATAATCATCATTCCGGTGTAGACCATGAACAGGAATTTAACTCGGGACGCCAAACTGCTACACTACCATTCCCATCTGCATTCCCATCTTCAAATGAATGCCCACACACACATATACTTCGTGAAAGTTCTAGGGTTCAGTTGTAGATTGTCTCCACAATGTTCATGTTTACACACTGCACCAGGTACTCATTTAAGGCTGAGTCGACCTAGGGGAGCCCCATGACTGGTTCAGATAGTCTTCACCGATGTATGTATGTATGCTGACTTCTTTCGCACCGTGCGTAGCCAACCACGCTAATCGGAGGTGTGAGGAAGGACAGCAAACTAAATACAAAAAGTAGTTATAAAAAAATGAGTTTTCAATTTAAATGATTTAAAAGTAGATAGCTCCAGTGTCTTCCTAATATCGGGAGGAACAGCATTCCAGACGGCCGCAGAAGCCCATCTGAAAGGGCGCGATGTGGCGACCGTCTTTGTTCGATGGCTTTCCAAAAGCCGCTGCGAGGATGACCGGATTTGGCGTGTTGATGGTTTATGCTCCTTGACAAGGAACATAAACCGTCATGTTCAGGTTTGATGCAGACATGGCCACTCCTCCTAGGGCATGAGTCGAAGGACAGTCATCACGAGACCTGGAGTACGCGCCGCTCCCACCCCCTGGGAGAAGGATCCGGCCATGTGAAGAGAAGAAGAGATGAAGTGGAACTGGCGGCGGCCCCTGAGCCATGTGAACGAACCACGCAGGTCCCAGGGCTATGGGTGGCAGGGTGGCGCTGTGGTAACACTCGCGCCTCACTCGGGTGCCTTTCTGTGTGGAGTTTGTATACTCTCCCCCCTCTTCTCGATGGGTTTCTTCCAGGTTTTATGGTTTCCTTCTAAAGCTAAACAAAAAAATGCAATGTCCAAACTTCCCAATTTCAGAATCCTCCTGAAAAAGTCTTCTTTTCCAGGTAAAAAGAAAGTTTATGATGGCACCAAACTGAATAGACGCTTTGTGAGGAATGTACATGTATCTTCCACTATATAAGTTGCTGCATTATGCATTGTTTTGCATATATGTTGCTGATTAATCAGGGAACATATTTCCTCACAAGTGGAATATTTCGCTTTTGCGTCCTTTTAAAAAATTTGCGCGAAATATTTTTTTTCTCGCAATTGTTGTTAATTAGGAACGCACGCGGTGAAAACAGACTATTTAGCGACGTTTCTTTAATAGCGTACGCATGCATATAGCACGCACCGCCGAAAATCCTTCTGCCACGTCTTCGGCCTCCATCTGCCAGCCAACCATCCAAGGTGGTCATTGCGTACATGTTAGGTAGAAATAGTGTAGGCGCTCAGAAAGATGAGTGCAAAACGCACAGTAAATGATGATAGTGTATCTGGCAAGAAAAGGAAAGGGATTAATCTGGAGGTTAAATTATAAGTTATGAAGGTGTTTTGAAGCAGGTGATAAAGCAGTCGATGTTGCCAGGAATCTCGGCCTACCCACGACCTCAGTAGGAACTATTTGAGCAATGCGAATTAACAATATATAATTATGTGATTCCGGACATACAATACCCTGGTGTCTACAAACTAAGTTGCCTCTATGGTAGTAGTTACATTGGAGAAACCAAACGACATGTCTCGGACCGCATTCGTGAACACAAAGCAGACCTAAAACACGGTAGGACCAACACCTCGGCCGTGGCTGATCACTGTTATAATTCAGTAGGCTCACATGACATTGACTTCTCCAAGACAGAGGTTCTTTGCAAGCCATCTGGCTACCATGAAAGATTCGTTCATGAGGCTATCCACATACAAACACAGAGACAATTTCAACCGAGAAGATGGATTCTGGCTTAGCAATCATTGGAAGGATTTGATAAACCATTTCGGGTCTTAATTGATTGTTCACGCTTAGGGTGGCTTTCAGACCGCATCCATTATTTTCGTCTCCCCCCTCCTCTTTTTCGAACATAGATGGACTCGTCCATTTAAATAACTGCCAAATCGCTCTCCCTGGTGCTAACGTTAAAAAAAACGCCACTTTTTTCAAATTTTCATGCTGTGGTTTTCACACCTGATGATGATCGCTTGTGTTGCAGTCTAAACGTCGTGAAAATGTTATTGTTTTATATTTTTATTATTTTATTGTTTCCCATCTACGTGACGTTACCGAAAGAACCAAGAATATATATAATGTGCTCAAGATGTTGCACCTTTAACTACCACTAAAATTAGTCATGTAGTTTTATATTCTAGAAAACATAAAAATACTTTAGGTATTTGGATTGAATATTAAAATTAGCGTAGCCCTTCATCTCTTGCAAGTTTTATCTAATTATTTTGTATTCATCATGAGTTTAAATGTATGTTCACTTATAATTGCATGCAGTTTTGAACACTTCATGACATTTAGTCATGCGCCTTTTTCACCCTGCAATGTCGGCTAGGATCGCAACCCCTGATTTTAACATTACGTCTGTGGGAAAATAGAGTTCGCTTTAAGAAATTTCGAGTTAAGTAGCATTTTCTCAGGAATGCAACCCTTGTGCATAGAGGGGGATTCCTGTGTGTTTCAATTAAAATTATCAATAAAATTAATGGAACATTGTCAACATCATAAATAGTGGAAACCTCGAAAAAAATAAAAACGCGATGAAGGCAGGGGTTGCGATACGGTGCCAGGTGGAGCCGTGCATTTGTTGAGACGGGAAGTTATTACGACTGCCAGACATCCACCTGCATGCCTCCTTCTACTAAATCTTTCATGCCGCATTAACCGCAAAGCTTCTTTCCACCAGGGCTTTATTGAGCTAATAGACAACTTGGGCATTTACCCGGTAATCCGCTCATAAAGTCGGCCATCACACACTTTGGACAAATTTAATCTCAACGGCAGCGGACAATTGCGGCTGGGCCGAGTGTCTGGCACCCAACTCTAGCACCGGCTGACCACTTCAAATATCTGGTCACCCAGTGGCTTGCTCTCTTCTTATATAGTTACCTAGCATGGGTCTGAATAACACCTATGATGTCGTACATACAGTGAGGGAAAAAAGTATTTGATCCCCTGCTGATTTTGTATGTTGGCCCACTGACAAAGAAATGATCAGTCTATAATTTTAATGGTAGGTTTATTTGAACAGTGAGAGGCAGAATAACAACAACAAAAAATCCAGAAAAACGCATGTCAAAAAATGTTATAAATCGTCGTTATCCGCAAGGGCTCGACAGGTCACAATGTTGTAACGCCGCCCCTCACTACACCCCCCCCCCCCCGCCCCCCCCATCTTGCCCGGCCTCGCAGATCGAGAGCCGCAAGCTGACGTTCCGCGAGAACGCCAAGGCCCGCACGGACCACGGGGCCGAGATCGTGCTCGTGTCGCCCCAACTCTCCCTGGAGGGCTCGCCGCGGAGCCGCCCCTCCGCGCCGCTCTCCCCGGCCAGCGCCCGCGGCACGGCGCACGCCCCCCCGCGCCTGCACTCGCTCGCTCACGACGTGGCGGCCGCCCTCGCCAAGCAGGGCCTCTAGCCGCGGCCCGCTCCGCGCACTCCGCCGTGGCCGACGAGCGCCTCCCCCTTGCCGCGTCGTTGTACCTGCCCGGCCTGGCTTATGACGGGAACACTCCGTCGACTTTCGCGTTAATGATGCAAAGTTCCGTCGGTTGAAACTCGGCTCGGAATGGAGCGCCGCTTTGCGAGGGAACCAACGGCGGTTGTCCTATGGATAGACTCGCTTCCCTCCGCCATAGAAATGTGGAATCTCCACTACTGAGCACCATCTATTTTCCGTCACGCTTTTAAAGAGCCGGTCGATATAAGTTTCGCCATCGAAGCGCACCGGACGCGCTTGGAAAAGCGCCGTAACACCGCGCCGTTTCAGTTTACGAGCGAACGATAGGAATACCACCCTTCACCAAAACTCCAAAGACCTTAAAATAAAACCCTTCCGGTGCCGTAGAGAGACGCTTCCTTGCCGCTGGTTTAGAGGACAATGCGAACCAAACCCTTAGTTGAGGGCGGCCTAGTCGACCCAAGTCATTGCAACGGTGATGCATTTCACCCCGCTCCCGTGTTACACGGTCACAAGCACCGGGTTCCTCGTGATAGATCACGAGCCACGCCAGCGAGCTGCTCATCGTTAGCGCGCAGTTTGAACACGAGAGGGGCATTCTGATTTCGGAACAGTGGGTTGCATTTTTCCGGGTTTTTTTTTTCCATTGCAGATGCACGTACAGTGGTCCCTTGGTTTATGATGCCATCGATTAACGATATTTAGATTAACGATCTGCCTCCCATAGGGATTCCCCCATTGTTTCTCTTAGCGATACATTTTCGATCAACGGTATGTGTGTACGATATCACGCAGCCGCCAATTTCGGCCAATCGGAGCGCTTCCTAAGTGGACTCGGCAGACCTCAGCCAATCAGTGACCCACTCTTTGATGAGCGTTTTGAGAGCCTAAGGTGAGAATTCTTATTTTATGCTGTTTTATTAATTATTTATGCATGTTTGGATCAACATTCATGCTTGAATATGTTCTTCTACTTATTTATAAAATTGCGTGTTTAAATATTATAAACTATGTTTTTAGGGTGAAAATTATTCAATTCTGATCATCTTGGAACAAATTAAGCCCCTTTAACATGTATTTATTATATTCGATTAACGATCATTTCAATTAACGAGGGTTTTCGTGGAACCAACTAATATCGTTAACTGAGGGACCACTGTAATGTGATATCACGTGACATTTCTATGCTACTAGTCTTCATTGCTCATTGCAAGAGCTATTGATTGCTGCGTGTAACAATGTACTGCGGCATAAATGCAAACTATGTGTGTATTATACCGTATTCCAGCATTAATAGTTTTACGATTCATAATGTTTTGGATGAGGCCAGAATAAGTCCAAAGCTGGAATCACTTTGATGGCTTCTGTCCTGAGGATGCTTGGCGCGTCGTCGAGTGACACGTCGTGTTTTAATTCTGAATGCGATTGTGAGAAATCTTTCTACAACTCGCCCACGGTGAGCTGAAACAATACTTGGTTGCGTTGTACACGTCACGATTTCGTTTGATTTGCAATGCCAGGTGGTAGAGCAGTGATGGGCAACCTGCAGCCTGCGGGTCGCATGCAGGGGGGATGGGGGTGCCATGATGGTGAGATGTTAACTACCTCGCCTTGTATACAGGAGGTCGTGGGTTCGATCCTGACCCTGGCGCCTGCTGTATATTTGTAGCTTGCACATCTCTCTCCCCATGGTCGCATGGATTTGTCTCCGGGTCCTCCGATTTTTCCCTCCACGTTTAAGAGTTCAGTAAAACCTTGGATTGCGAGTAACTTGGTCTGCGAGTGTTTTGCAAGACGAGCAAAAATTGTAAGTTAATATTAATTTGATAAACGAGCGAGGTCTTGCAATACTAGCAGTGTACGTATACGCTTTGTCTGCCGAGCGTCACGTGATCACAACTGATATACGAGTGTTTTGGATTACAAACACGTTTCTGGAACGAATTGTGCTCGCAATCCAAGGTTTTACTGTATTTGGCTGCTATAAATTACCATGTGATGAGCCACTTTGTTGAGAGATCATTTGTGGCCAGGTCGCTTCTGAAAAAAGAACGAATAGCTCAGTGGGCCTTGCCTGGTAAAATAAAATGACAAAAAATATATAGTTGTATAGTCCGTGCAAGCCCCTCATGGTGGCCTGGTCTAGTGTCGAGGCTGATGCGGGGGGGGGGGGGAAGGGGGGTCATGATTCGTGCAGAAGCACGATTAGCAAGCATGCGGCCCGCTAAGGTGAAGGAGGGCTGCTCATGTGGCCCACCAACTCGTCTGGGTTGCCCATCACTGAGGTAGAGGGTTTCACGACATACATTCGGCAACATCATTACTTGACCGACCCAGAAAAAAAAAAACAATCGCTCATCGCAACATTGACTGTGAAAACCTATGCGTTAAATTAATAGTTTTTTTTTTTAAACCAGTACATTTAGAGTGGCTGAAAAGTGATATTGCTTACAGTGACAACTTTGGAGGGCACTTAATATTTGAGTCGCAACACCGTAACAGCAATGAGTTCACAGTCTGAGGGTGCAGAGGTGCTCGGGTGCAGCGTGGTGTGTGTGCGGTGTCTGTGATTTGGCATCGGGCGATTGAGCGGCGCCTCTGTGCCAGATCGTGCGACTGTCCACGATGAGTGCCCACTGGTGTCAATGTTCAGCCCCTGCAGCACCGCAAGTGTATCTCGCCTCCGAGCCCCCCCCCCCCCCCTTTGCTTACCGAACTCTGGTAACGTCGGGATGACACCTCGGGAGAAATCCCAGTGCCGCTTCTCGGCCCGAGGGTCGACGGCACGCCCGCTGAGCCGCGGTTAACTTTGGCGACCCTCTCTCCTTCGTCAACGAGAACTCACCCTCGCCTCGTGAAGTTCTACACCTGGTGAAAAGAATTCAACTTGAAATGTGCCGCCAGCACATAAAAGTCGAGACATCTGAGGAAGTCTTTCTGGCAGAGAGAGCCTCTACATTGTACCAAGTCCCATGACGCCAGCTCTTAAACTTTCCTGAAATGTCACCAACCAGAAGTTTCCGTGTTCCTTCTCTTCAAAGAGAATCGTAGGCTCAAGAGTCAACCAGCCTCACATATATAAAGCTCCTTCTTTATTCACAACTCCTCCGTATTTGCGTATACCGCAACCGTATTCTTCGAGAGTTGTCACTGCCCACACTCGTCCCCACATTGATAACTCAGTCATTTTTTGTACTAGTCCCACGGACCAGAGAAGAAGTTGGTACGACTTTAGGGTAACAAACCTCTGGTCAAGTGTTCTTCATTGCACGGCCTGCGGGCCACTGGTGCCCTTTAGTGCGGCCCCTGACAGTACAACAAATGTGAAAACACCCCCCCAATCATCACCGTGCTGCTGTCAAACCCCCAATGGTTTCAAATGTGTGGCGGCCCTCGCACTGACGATGTCGTATCGGCAGCCAAAGTGGCACCACTGTAAAATTAATGAAAAACACTGTGCTCTAGTTTGTACCAATGTATACGGCTAATAAGACTGAAATACTTGTTATCCCCCCCCCCACTCGTTTCAAATGATTATCTCACAATTCGCCGTTATATTGGCCACATTAAAGACATTGGCACCACTAGAGTTATGCAACCCCAGGTGGCACCGACAAGTGAGATATCTGGTCCAGGGCCCATGGACTCTATGGATGGGGCCGAGGTAGGCCATGGTCGTTCCGACTCCCGGCAGGGCGTGTGAATGGCGCTGTCCCACACAGGGCCCCATCACGTGTTTACTTTGAACTTCATTCGCACAGCCGAACGTAGCCAACCCTGCTAATCGGAGATGCGAGGTGACGGACAACGGACTTCACGCAAAAAGCAGTTCAAAAGAAATGAGTTTGTGTATTATCAGAGCCACAGCTGATCCTCTCCACGGGGCAGGCCACCTGCCAAACCCCACCGCCCGTCGGTGAAATGCTTCTGCTGCTGCTGCCGCTGCTGCTGTCACTGTTGTTGCTGCTGCTGCTGCGGTTGCCTCGTACTCCCGCTGACTATGGAGTTGATGATATATTGTGCCCGGCACTCAAACGGCTTCGCTTTGTAGGGCACAGACTCGGCAATCGGCGCTGTCAAGGCGCCCCTTCAACCGGGCGGACGAAGGCATGTGTCCGCTGAAGCGCATCTTATCTGTTCGATGGCAGTGAGTGATGCGACAGTCTCCAGAAGCGCCGCAGCGAGGGTGGCCACCCTTTCCGCAGACGAACCGTGGGACGTGTTTCTCATTCAGCCTGGGGCCAATTATGAAAACCGTGATCAGGTTTCAGCGCAATGCCGGCGCCAGATCTCGGTACAGATCGAGCGCTGCCACTCAGAACAGCAGATGCCAGTTTCCCGGACTGCCCTGGTCAAACTCGGACAGGTGGCAAACCATAAACACACCACTGGCCACACGTGACCGGGCCCGTTTTGTTGCAGTTACGTCGTGTTGTGAGTTGATGTTTGAGCTTATCTGGGGTCTCGCGGGTCCCAACCCCCTCGTCACATAGACAGTAGAGTGTGCACCGTCGAACACCAAACTATTACTCGATTGTTCACCCCCTTGCATCGGTGTCATTGCGCTCCCTCGTAAATCTCAACGAAGCAACAGCCATTCTGGTCGCACATCAGCCTCCTTCATCTCGGTATGGCAAAAATATTCTACTGGTATTTATATCTCCGTTCTAGTCGGTGGTGCACGCGTGCGTGAAGTCCGCTCAGTGTTTCAATGGTTGCAAAGTGCTACGGCTGCGTTGGTGACCCACGTCACATGACTGGATTTAACAAGGCAATGCGTTATTAGGTTTGTGTTCTTTAAATAAAAAAAATCACCCGCGAGTCTTGAGTGAGCTTCACAAGTCACTGCTCTGCATGCTTCAAATGAATCCAGCAAACCGTTAGGCTGCTTACGTGTGGGTGATAACCCGGCTCACACCTGCACACACCCGCGTTGTAAATAAACTCAAACACACACACCACCACAAGCCTGGTCTCCGTGGCTCATGATCGCGACTGGGTTGGCTTCAGACCGCGTATGCTGAGTGATAACCGGTAAATGGTAACCGGTAACCGTTTTCAGAATCGATTCCCTGGTTCGGAGAGTCAGGAACCCGGTCGCCGTTGCCAGTGAAACTTTTATGAATGCGCCATTGATTGGCAGGTACAAACGGCACGGCGGCATGCCTGAGTCACCGCGTGGTACGTCTGCCCTCATTTATCGTTGACAAGGTAACGATGCAATGCTGTAGCTGCTACTGACGCCACAGCTGGTGTGGAAGAATCTCAGAAAATATTTGCGGGGTGGTGGTGGCGCGTCAAAATCAGTTCTCGTGATGTCGAAGCAGTTGGAAGACGAGTGTTGTTTTTTTATGAGTGTCCAAACAGGAAGCTTCACAGTGTTGCCGTACAGCAGCACCCAGCCTGATGACGATCGGCTGCTCCGTGTTTTGACTCCTCGTGCCCTCGACAGATTTGACTCGTGCCCAAAATCAACGGTCAATGTTGACCTTTTTTAGCAAGTCTCAGTCGACTGAATACAGATTCGAATGGCGTCAAAAACTTAGCCACAGGGTGAACTAAAGACTGATTAAAACAGATTCGCTGATTAAAATTTGAATGTTAGACTTTTTATGAGGACCGGTGTGTTATGCTGCACCAGTGTACCGCCAATGCACCCATTTGCAATGATTTTTGCGCACGAACGTCGCCTCAACTCACGTGACCGCACAGGCCCCTTAGCAGCCTGTGCACAACTCGCCGTTATGTTGGACACACAAAGACATTGGGACCACCAAAGTTATGCAACCCCAGGAAGCACCGACAAGTGAGATATCTGGTCCGGGGCCCATGGACGCTATGGGATGGGGTCGAGGTAGGAAATGGTTGTTCTGTCCCCCAGTAGGGCGTGGGGATGACGCTGTCCCACTCGAGGCCCATCCCAAACTAAAACTCAAATTTTTTATTAAAATTAATCCAAATTTGTTTTTTTACCAGGTAAGGCCCACGAAGCCATATAGCTCTTTTTCAGAAGCGACCTGGCCACAAATGGCTTATCACGTGGACGTGTATAGCAGGCAAACACTCTGAACGCACGATGTTTCTAAATGTGGAGGGAAAAATCGGAGAAAAATCCACACGACCACGGGGAGAACATGCAAATTCCCAATATACAGGCGTCAGGGTCTATATTGAACCCACGACCTCTTGTACACCAGGCGATGTAGTTAACATCTCCCCGTCGTGCCCCCCCCCCCCCCCCATCCTGGCAAGAGCCACAGCTGACCTACCCGCACCTTGCGGTGAGCTGTGCCGAGATGTACATCAGCTGCCAATCACTCTATGGCGGAGAGACGTGGCCACGCGGTAGTTCGTTCGCCGCCTGGTTTCAGAGGTGCACTGTTTCGAATCCGGTGGCCGCCCTGATCAATACCGCGGTGTGTTAACAGACACAATTATGATACCATGCACTGGCTGCTTCACTCAGCGGACGTTATCCTCTGGCATCATTGACAAGAGTAGGCCATTCTGTGCCGGTGTCATGGTCCAAATTTGCCAAATTGAAATAAAATTGTGACCAAAGTACTCCATTGCCATTATGCATAGCGATCATCGCAAATAACTCATCCTGGTCTCTTGACTTCCCACCTGGTTAAACTAAATTAACGTCTACTACTGTAGCGAGACAACAACAGTGGCAATGTGTCTAAGGGGCCGAATCCAGTGGCCTTCTTAGCCTCTTTGTAAATTATGCTTTTGAAATTAGCGTCTTAATAATCTCAAAACATTTTCTTCATCAGCTGCGCTCTGTCCACCGTTGGATGAATGCCTTTGCCAAAAAGCCATCGTCGCCATCTCTCACGGCCACGCGATTCAACCAACAAATCCATCCCTCGCACCCGCACGGCGGATTGGACTCTCGGGCGTGTTGCCTCCTTTGGTCGCCACTCCATCTTTAGGCTTGACCACCTTTAAGCCAATCACATACCCGTATTCTTATACAGGGAAGTTGAGTTTTCAGGTCCAAACGGCGTACAGACGTTTCAATACGGGCACATTTTTGTTTATATTTGTTTGTGTTTTTCCCTTGTGATGGGACTTTGTAGGATGAACGTTGAGATCTTATAAGGGGCAAGAGGTGATCAATAAGGTCTGAATTGGTCTGTAACAAGGTATGCACTGATAGGGGGTTGACAGTAATGCAATCATCATCCCTCCTTTAACGGGCACGTCAGAAACGTTGCCAGCTCGGAACGACCCGTGGCATCGCCACGCGAATGCAAACCTGAAACGGACTCACGGTTTGTCAAAGACGCCCTGACCTCTGGCGCACACCGCCACCACTTCCAACGAACCGCGCACATGCCTCTTAAGCAGCTTTGCGTGTGAGTCAATCCGATTCTCGCTGCACGTGGATTTGACACGTCGTGCGCAAATGAGGATTACATTGCGAATCGCCAACAAAACCCATTCTGTAAATTTCACCCGGCTACCTGATAAACGTTGTAGGTATAACCACGATGCCAACGTTGGGGCAACGTTGGAAGAGCCACGTGCCAACATTCGCCCAACGTCAGGATAACCACGTGCCAACGTTGGGGCAACGTCGCATGTTTACTAAACCAAAATCAAAAACAAACCTCGGCGTTTTATCAGGATTACCCCCCCACCCACCCCCAACCACCGCAACCACCCACAACTCCCCACAGTGGCTCACGAAGCGCGAGGGTGTGGCAGCGGTGGTGCGAGGCGGCCTGGGAGGGCGCACGGCGACCCCGCAGCCCACGGGACGCCTCGCACCACCGCCACCACCACCACCACCGCCACCACCACCACCACCGCCACCACCACCGCCACCACCACCACCGCCGCCACCCACTCGCGCTTGGCGCCGCACGGCCACTGCCTGGGGGGGGGGGTCGCGAGGGTCACCGCGCAGCAGCAGCAGAAGCGGCCCACTCCGGACCCCCAACCCCCTCCCCCCAGAAGGCCGGCCCGGGGGCTCCAACCCCGACCCTAATCCGTGCCCTCCCCCCGCACCCTCAGCCTGCCCCCCACCACCCACACCACACGCGCTAATTGGCAATCAGCGCCACGAAGCCGCCGTGGCCGCCGCGACTCAACGAGATGCGGCGGCCACGGCGGCTGCTGCGTCTCGCGTGGAGAGCGCAGCTCCCCCTCCTCCCCCTCCTCCCCCTCCTCCTGCTGCTGCTGCTCGCCGGTCGCCTACACGGAGACACGCGTGAGTGTGAGTACACGCGTGAGTGTGAGTACTCGCGTGAGTAGACGCGTGAGTACACTTGCGTGGATGTGTGAGTACACGCGTGAGTGGACGCGTGAGTCTAAACACACGAGTGTGAGTGAGTCTGAGTACAGGCGCGTGCGTCCTCGAGACTCGCCGGGACACCACGCCACGTGGGCACCGGGGATGAGTTCCCACGCCTTGTGAGACGCGGCGCATCTAAACCATCGACTAAGCTCATTTTTATTCAACAAAGGTAAGGCCCCCACCGAGCGATGCAGCTCTCTGGCTGTCACAAATGATAGCTCGACCAAGTGGCTCATCGTCATCACGTGCACATTTATAGCAGTTGCCAAATACTCTAAACGCGTGGTGATGTTTAGTCTAAAATGTGGAGGGGAACATCCGGAGGACCGAGGAGTGAAAATCCGCGTGACCGCGGGGAGAGAGACAGGTGTGTAACCAGTGTGGTTGTGTTACTGATAAAGCGGTGCACTACGATATAAGTAGTCGTTGTTAAACCTTGTGAATGTTGCTGGGTCACGGTTGGCTTATGATACACGCGTGGTTCATTCGGCCGCGCTCTTCGTTAATCTCTTAGAATGGGCAGGCGCGTGATTCAATCGCCAGAGTCACGTAGCCACTGGACGAGATGTATTTCCTAAGCATTTTGAAGAAAGGGATACCTGTATCGGGGGGGATCGTGACGCCGGCAGAGGGTCCGTTGGCGTACCTGTGTGCTGTGAGCCGGACGAATAAACCGATGCCATATTGGACCCTCGTCAACCTCGCGGAAAGTCCTTGGGTGTACGTGGCCGGTGTTGGGAGCGAGAGCGAGAGTTGTGTCACGGTTGACAAGAAGGAGGATCACTCAGCGGAACAAGGAAAATAACGCAGAGTGCTACCAAAACGTATCTTTCATCATTAATTGATGACCGCCCTGCGTCCTCGATAACGATCACGGCCAGGAAAGATCGAGGCACAGGGGGCACGGCTCACACAGACAAACTCCAAACATGATCAGGATGGAACCCACGACCTCCTGCATACCAGGCGAGGTAGTTAACATCTCTTAGCCACCGTGATGATGAGAGAGAGAGAGACACGCAAACTCCAAATATACAGCAGGCGTCAGGCAGGCGTCAGGGTCGGGATCGAACCCACGACCTCCTGCATACCCGGCGAGGTAGTTAACATCTCCTATCCATCATTAGACCTCCTTTGCCAGTACCAAAATATGAGAATAGGGTTTTTCCCCTTTTTTCTGGCAACAAAACTGAAACTTTTTTACGAGGATTCATGTCTGCATTAACCACAATACCTGCAGTCAAAATGCAAACAAAATACATACTATGATAATATATGCATTGTCCTTGAAACTGATTGGTCCACACCAAGGGACGGCTTTCTTTTGAGCCTCGACCCAATTGATGCTCGAGCACCAATTGGGCCGAGGCTCAAAAGAAAGTTTCAAGGACAATGCATATATTATCATAGTATGTTTTTTGTTTGCATTTTGACTGCAGGTATTGTGGTTAATGCAGACATGAATCCTTGTAAAAAGGTTTCAGTTTTGTTGCCAGAAAAAAGGGGAAAAACCCTATTCTTATATCTCCTAGCCACTGTGATGATGATGATGACAGAGAGACACCGCAAACTCCAAATGTAAAGCAGGCAGGCGTCAGGGTCGGGATCGAACCCAAGACCTCCTGCATATCAGGCGAGTTCATTCACATCCCTCCACCGTGGCCCTCCACCGTGGCGCTCCACAGTGGACGCGTGAAGTCTCATGAGCCCGTGTGCGATCATCACCCTTCTTACTTGGACACGCAGGAGTATGTGTCAAGCCACATTTCACCAATCTGTCATTGCCTTGAAAGTGACACTCCATTTATATTCATCAGCTGGGCGAGTTTTGAGTGATGATCGTGGTTGCTTCATTTGTGTAATTTCCCCAACGCGTTATTTCGCCGGGGAAGGTGACGGCGAAAATCATTGACAACCATCCGTGAATGCTGTCTGGGTTGTGTTTCCATTGGCCCGATGTGCGCTTCTCAAACTCGGTTCACCGAGACCTTCAATTGACAACGCGGCCAAGCGGGTGATGCCCCCACCAAGCGTGTGACTTGGCCAAGCGGGTATCGCGTGTTTTTCCACGTCCGTTGGCAGAGGTTCGGACCTTAGAGCCCCACAGCCGCCCTGATTAATACTCGAGGGGGGGGGGGGGCTGGGGTTCGCGTGTGTGTCTGTATGAACCAAGCACACAATAACGTCGCGCCGTCCCGCTCCACACAGCGAACGTTGCGAGATCCCGTGACGTTGTGGGAGTCACGCCACGCGTGCCGGCGTCGTGGTGCCAATGCGCCCGCGTCTTCTTGTAAACATCGCCCACAATGCCCCTCTTGAGCATCCGAGTGCAAGACTAAGGGGCAGGGAGGACGCTTACCACCAAACATGGAACCCCTTCACTACCTCTCCTCCAGTGGGAATTTGATTCTTAAGAGCATTCATGAGGGCAGTGGTTCTCAACCTGGGGGTGCACGCACCACCTGGGGGGTGCGAGATGCCCTTTCTGGGGGTGCGAGACACGGCCAGATTTGTTTTTTTACAAGGTAAATAATCGAAAACACAAATTAAGCACGGGCACGTAAGTAGAGTGCAACGACTGTGTTTCATCAAACCGTGCGTGTTTATTAACACGCATTTTGTTTTACGAATGAGAAGCAAAGGGGTGCAAGGCTGCTGTAAAATTTAAGAACCACTGCGTCAGGGCGTTTCGGCACTGCCCCTTCCAACTCCCCTCCCTTTTTACCCCTTCTCCTACAGGGGTATAAGAGCTTAGTCAGGAAGACACCAGGGGTTATGGAGTTTACTGAAACAGTCAATCGAAACATGCGGCGGAGACGGGTTTACATTGCACTGTAATCCGTACTGTGTCTGTGCTGGTGTCAACCCCCGTTCATATCCTCTGTGTTGTGTATCTGATGTCGTTCTGTTAATAAAATACCTAAGGACAAAATAAAATCGCCCACCCAATCGCTGAGCTCGTAAAAGAAGCCCCTGAGGCCATCCTTGCAGGATGATCCCGCACGCAATCTCGAGCTGCGAAAGGGGGGCACAATTGCCCCCCACTCGGGGTGGTTGCCACTATTTGCAACAGTTGCCGCAATTCGTCCCACTTCGCCGTCGTGACCGACGACGCAGTGGGACGGTTTGAAGTTGAGATGTTGACGCAAGGCGCTTTCAATGCGTGGAGATATTCGAGCGCAAATATGGATGCAAATCCGTAACTCGGCATCCTTTCGGCGTGCAGTTTCACTAACGTGCACAGGACCTTTTGTCAAACCGCTGCTGGATGATGGGGCATACCCATGCCGTGCCTGTTGGTGGCTGTTATTGTATGTATATGTATGTTGAACTTGTTTCGCACCGTACGTAGCCAACCGTGCTAATCAGGTGCGGGGGAAGGACGACAAACTAAACACACAAAACATCATACTCAGCCACATGGAGTATCACCTTTAATAACAGAGACCATAAATGTTATGAGCAGGCTCTCACGACCAATGTAATGATGCATTTTTGATTTTGGCTCAGATTGTGTAGATATGTCAGTTAATGAAAAAAATGTAACTTGCAACCGGTCAACATTTTGCTTGCCTTTCAACATGTCTGTTTGCTGAAAAACAAAATCAACTGGCATATTTGGCCACAAGTCATCACTTAGTGGATTGTGCTTCGACCTGATAATAAAACCAAGTCTTCCCATAATGCAATGTGCCAATATCATTTTATAATTTTACTTCTAATACCAACGAGTTTATTCAGGAGGAATACTTTCTGTTTATTGAGGGGTGTGTTTTTTTACTCAAGGGCTACTAAAAGTGTAACTATTAAAAGGCCAGTTTAAAAACTGTTCATCAGGAAACATTTAAAAATGTCATTTTCAATGTAATGATGCATTAGTGCAGATGCCAACTCTTATTCTCATGCATGGCAGGAGTATTTATGAGACAAATACAAAAACACACAATGGCTGACTTTCTCATTAAAGTGACACTGACTTTACCCATTCCAGAGGGAAGATAGGTTGAGTCAACCCCAACCAGGAGTTTAATTCACAACCTTCCGATTGTGAGCCACTTGCTCAACTTCTGAGCGACCTGCGGCTGGATCAGAAACCAGCGTAAGCATTTTATTTTCAATGGCAATAAATCTGAAACGGTTTTAACTCTCCTGTCGGTAATCTCGCACATTCCCAGACGCAGTGGCGGTACGCAACCTCGGCGCGGAAGGACGCGCGGAGGTCAGAGCCCCCTCGGCAGCATACGACACAGTCCAGGTCGAATCAACCCAGAGACGTGCCGAAGTTGGGGAGACGACACGGAGCCCGGCACGGGTCCAGCGTGAGATCACTGCCTGGGATGGTAGCCTGGCCGGAGAGGAGTCCATCCGGACTCCCCGTCCCTCCGAACTCGGACCTGGTGAAGCGCGTGCGCCGGACCGCGGCGCTCGTGGAGAAGGGAGCATGACGCTCACGTCCGCGCCGCCGTCGCAGAGACTCGGCCCCCCCGCGTACGACGGAAGAACGCTCACGGGGGCGCAGCTGCCTTCGACGGTGGCGGCGGCCGTGGGAGGCGATGCGGCGGGCACGGCGGCGGAGGACAGCAGCCGGGCGAGCGGCGCCTACTGGGGTGGTGAATCTCCAGCGAGCGGCGTCCCACGCGTCGCCACGGCCCTTGCCTGGGGCGGCGACGCCGACGCGGCGGCGGCGACGGCCCTCGATCCCTCGCTCTACAACGTCACGCGGACGCAAGCCGCGGCCGACCGTCCGTCCGTCGACGTGCGCACCCAGCGCACCGAGATGCAGCTCTTCGCGTCCTCCCCGAGATACCTGCACCACCAGATCAACGAGTTGCTCGGTGAACTCAGGCGCAGGGGCTCCGCGTCTGGGACGGCGAGGACCCCCCTCCTCCTGCCGCCCCCGCCGCCGCCTCTCCCGCCTCCCCCACCGCCTCTCCCGCTTCCCACGGCCGTTCCCCCGGTGACCTGCGGCCCGGGATATACGCACAGGCGTGGGGGCTGCGTGTCCCTTTGCCAGAGCGTGCCCGCCTTCTGCTACAACGGGGGCACGTGCCACCTCATCGAGGGAATCGGAGCGTTCTGCAGGTGTGAGCACACGACCTCCGCGGCACCCCTCGAGATTTACATCGCGGGCGGACGCATTTGAACATCTTTAGGGGGCTTCGGGATGGACTGCGCCGTGAAATCCACCAACAGCTCTTAAGTACGATTCCCTGGCCGCTCTATTGACTGGCGCCAAATGTTACACTTCAGATGAAGTACCGTACAGGCATCCCTCCGATATATGGAACGGATACGTTCCTGAAAAGTTCGTAAAGTTAATTTACGTATATCGATTCTTGTGTTCCTATTAACTTCCATTATAGAATAGGAGATGCAATCCTTCAGAAAAGATGTTGGCCCCAAGAGGGTAATAAAATCACACTTTACAGTGAGGGGAAAAAGTATTTGATCCCCTGCTGATTTTGTACGTTTGCCCACTGACAAAGAAATAATCAGTCTATAATTTTAATGGTAGGTTTGTTTGAACCGTGAGAGACAGAATAACAACAAAAAACTCCAGAAAAACGCATGTCCAAAATGTTATAAAATGATTTGCATTTTAATGAGGGAAATAAGTATTTGACCCCTCCTTTGTGTGTTTTGGGTCATTGTCATGCTGTAATACGCATCCACGACCCATTTTCAATGCCCTGGCTGAGGGAAGGAGGTTCTGACCCAAGATCTGACGGTACATGGCCCCGTCCATCGTCCCTTTGATGCGGTGAAGTTGTCCTGTCCCCTTAGCAGAAAAACACCCCCAAAGCATAATGTTTCCACCTCCATGTTTGACGGTGGGGATGGTGTTCTTGGGATCATAGGCAGCATTCCTCCTCCTCCAAACACGGCGAGTTTAGTTGATGCCAAAGAGCTCCATTTTGGTCTCATCTGACCACAACACTTTCACCCAGTTGTCCTCTGAATCATTCAGATGTTCATTGGCAAACTTCAGACGGGCATGTATATGTGCTTTTTTGAGCAGGGGGACCTTGTGGGCGCTGCAGGATTTCAGTCCTTCACGGTGTAGTGTGTTACCAATTGTTTTCTTGGTGACTATGGTCCCAGCTGCCTTGGGATCATTGACAAGATCCTGCCGTGTAGTTCTGGGCTGATTCCTCACCGTTCTCATGATCATTGCAACTCCACGAAGTGAGAACTTGCATGGAGCCCCAGGCTGAGGGAGATTGACAGTTCTTTTGTGTTTCTTCCATTTGCGAATAATCGCACCAACTGTTATCACCTTCTCACCGAGCTGCTTGGCAATGGCCTTGCAGCCCATTCCCTTTAAGAGTGTGCTCCTAAACTCAGCTCGTTATCTGTATAAAAGACACCTGGGAGCCAGAAATCTTTCTGATTGAGAGGGGGTCAAATACTTATTTCCCTCATTAAAATGCAAATCAATTTATAACATTTTTGACATGCGTTTTTCTGGATTTTGTTGTTGTTATTCTGTCTCTCACTGTTCAAATAAACCTACCATTAAAATTATAGACTCATCATTTCTTTGTCAGTGGCCAAACGTACAAAATCAGCAGGGGATCAAATACTTTTTTCCTTTCCCATCAGTTTGTATTCTGATTCTGTTCCAATGATGTACGTCATCGGAACGTAATCGGAAATAAACGGCCATACGAGAGAGCGTATGGCACAGTTTGGAGCCAGCTATCGTAGAGTGCGGTGGTCGTGTCGCTAGTTTTCTGCGGTGAGTACAATATCTTTAAAAACAGCGGCGCTACTACACCTCTTTAAATAAAATTAACGCTGAACTGCCTGCGCATTCCGAGATTCAGCGGTGAATGGGACTCACTCTGCAACTTGCAGACGTCTCGGAACGGGAAAGGGTTAAGAATGCAGAAAACCATTTTTAAACACATTTAATGGAAAATCGATAATCTTATGATACAAAATATAATACTCAACGTAAGTCGTGGGACACCAGTAAAGAATGAATAGTGTCCCAGACACAAATGTCAATGTGGCATACTTTTTTCTCCCCCCAAAATGAATAATTTAAGAGATTCCAAACTCCGTAAATGTGATTTCACGTAACACATATTGAATTAACTCCAAAATGTATGAGTTACGTTCTAGCCTAATTCCGTATATTTCGTTGCCGTAGAACGAAGGATGACCGTACAGGCAGTAAATTGTGCAGAACTGTGGTGCAAATGCAGTTATACTGTGTACGGCATGTACGTTGAACTTCTTTCGCACCGTACGTAGCCAACCGTGCTAATGGGAGGTGCGGGGAGTAAAGGAACAACAAACTGAACACGCAAAAAGCACCGTTACTTTACGTCATTTCCTCTTGCGGCAGGACATTGCTTAAGTTGTATTTCCAAAATGAATGAAATTTTCTTGGTTCTTTCGGTAAAGTCACGAAGAATGGAAATAAAATTATGTTTTATTTTTTAGCCGGAGTGGGATAATTCAGATGTAAATAGCACAGAGTGTGGAAATATCATGGCCAAACATTATGTTTTATTTTTATTATTTTATTTCCATTCTACGTGACTTTACCGACAGAACCAAGAAGATGAATCCCTGCAGTCACGAAATCTTTAAATCGAAACACAAGTTACATTATTTGGGAGGTGTGTGAATTAATAATCATAACCATTACGAGATCAAATGTCACGAGACTCATTCAAATTATTATGATGAACGGCATTCCTATTTACCTTTAACACGAGTAACCACATTTTATTGACAGGTTCAAGAGTTCAACAAAGCAGAATGCCACAAATGTCTTAAAACTCTGCACGACGTTCACATCGAAATGCACTGGGAATGGCCTTTGAAGAACCGGTTTGTTCAATCATGAAGGGAAAAAATTATGCCAGATTTGTGTTCTGGCCAGGTGCTGGTGAAATAGTATTGATCCCCCCACACAAAAACTGAATCAGTGGGGAAGCCGCCTCCATTCTATTAGCCGGCGTGGGATAATTCAGCACAGAGTGTGGAAATATCATGGCCAAGTCTGGACATTTTAACAATTCATTTCTGACCAATTTTCCACAAGAATCACCACAAATTCACACCAGGCCAGTAACGTGATACATTCGGATGCAATTCTGCGAACGGGAATGAGATGAGGGCAATGCGGCACTGTTGTTGCTGGGTGCCAAAGTGCTTGCCACAAATGAACCACAATATCCTGCTCATCTCGAGCATAAACCATCATCACGCAAACTCCGGTCATCCTCGCAGCGGCGGATTTTTGGCTCACCAACGAACAAAGACGGCGGTGGTCACCGTTTTCAGATGCGCTTCTGCGGCCGTCTGGAATTCTCTTCCGATATTAGGAAGCCACTGGAGCTATGCACTTTTAAATCGAGATTGACAACTATTTGTCTTTAGAACTGGTTATTGTATTTAGTTTGTTGTCCTTGCCCCGCACCTCTGATGAGCACAGTTGACTACGTACGGTGCAAAAGAAGTTCAACGTACATAGTGGAGAGGTGGAAGTAGCGTGTAGGACAGAAGTGGCGTGTGCTGTACGATGGTCGTGTGCTGTGTTTGCTGTGTGCAGCTGGAGCCTGCAGCAGCTCACATGCGGTGTGGTCGTGCTTGCTGGGTGGTGTGTGGGCGGTGTGTCACACTTTATCCGGGGCGGTAGTGGTTGCACACGTGGCATGTAATCCAGCACTTGTAGAGGCGAGGGTTGGTGGATCACGCACATGTAAAGTAAAATAATAAAAATGCCTTCCCGCCAAGAGAAGTACAGCAAAAATGTCGACCACCTCTTGTCTGTATGGGATATAGTGTTGCCCCCTCACACGCGTGTGGGTTTCTCCTGCTTCTCTGGTTTTCTCCCACGTGCAAACACTCATTAATTGGCTGATGACACCTTCATATATAGAAGACAGCAGAGCTTGGGCACTTGTTGGCGCCGGCTCATTGTTAGGCTGCTCCCTTGCTGCTTGTCTGTGTTTCCTCGCGCCTCTTGAGTCGAACTCTCTCTCTCTCTCAAGAGTGAGCGAATACTGTGCAGGGTGTCACAAGTTGAAATTATGACTGCGTGGTGTGGTGTTTATTGTTTGGTGTGTTGTCTTTGCCATGTGGACATGTATGGTGGTATATTAGGCTTGCTGTCTGGTGGTGTGTGGAGAGACTTGCAGAACCCCCACAGTGGTTTCAGACCAGGGCAGTCCTGCACGGATGCCATATTCTCTGTGCGTCTCCTACAGCAGAGGTGTAAGGAATTTCAACAGGACCTACATCTCTGCTTCATTGACCTGGTCAAGGCATATGAAACCATAAATATGCCACGGCTCTGGGTTATTATTTGTGCTCTCTGCTCACAATCATTTGGGACCTTCACGATGGTGGGCAGGCCCGGGTAAAGCTGCGTTGCCGGGAGTCAGAGCCATTCCCTGTTCACCTTTGGGTGTGACAGGGATGTCCTCTGACCCCAACACTATTTAACTTCTTCTTTGACCACGTAGTTCGATAATATTTCCATGGCTGTACCAGAGGAATTTCCATCTGGGACAGATACAATGTGAAACTAATCGATGTATGGGGTGCTGTCAAGGAATGGTTCCAGATTGGTCAACCATGCTATGCATCCTGATGATTTGCTCATTGCTGCTCACTTTGAGGAGCTGAAGATGACTCCCACAAAAACAAAGCACCTGCCTAGGGCAGGTCTGGAGAGAGTGGAGACGTCTCCACACCTGCACAGCGTGCCTATTCCCAGCTCCAGTTTCGGCAGATATCTCACTCTGAATCAGTCGAGTGGCATTGTCTTTTCATCAGCTGCTGTGTAATACTGTGTAGACGCTACCTGACTTGTTACTCCATACGAATCTTCGGGTATTCTAAGCGAAACGTTTGTGTACCATTTTCAAAAGTTCAGGCTGGCCTGCCTATGATCCATCCTGGGTTTAATCATACTTGATTGAGGAGCTCACATATCCTTGAAAGATCTGGACACAGTCCCATCGGTGAGCTCCTCCAACAGGTAAGACTACGTTGGCTGGGTAATGTTGGCGCCCACATACCCAGCCAACGCTGAGTGGACTTGCCAATGACTGGTACCAGTGGTGTCAAGATGGGCCTGTATGGAGGATGACCGTGAAGGACACTCCTGGGCAGTAGGAGGCAGTTGTTCTCCAACAATAGCGAAGGGCAGACGAGCGAGGCTCACAATAACAAGCGGAGCGCCAGTCAGGTAAAAAAAAATCAGTGAGTTGGCACAGGTGGTGCTTTTGTCATTCATCTCGGTTAGTCGACCCATGGCACCTGAGCATGTCCCTTGACCTCCTGCCAGTAGCGAGCCTCCGACACTTCGCGTGGGCCCCAATGCGCACCAAGCCTGGCACGAGCGCCGCGGCCAACCGCTTGGCGGCGATCGGCGGCCGACGTTCGCTGTGCGGTGCCTCCGTGTTTTTTTCGCACGGCCTCGCAGGTGCAGGCTGCAGGAGCACGTGTGGTACAGGGGGCTGCGCTGCGAGGGGGCCGCGCCGCACACCGCGGTGCTGGGCGGGGCGCTGGGAGCCGGTGGAGGCGCCCTCGCGCTGGGGCTGCTGCTCGTCGTGTGCCTCGCCAAGCGGGCGCGGAGAGTCCACGAGCACAACGAGCGCCTGCGGGGAGGCCGGCTCAGGTGAGCACCCACACTCACACCGGGGCTCCCTTACCTCACCGGTGCCCTCACCTCACCGGTGCCCTCACCTCACTGGCACCGTCACCCCACCAGCTTTCACCAAACTCACCCCACCAGCGCTTCCGACTCGCCGGTGCCCTCACCCCACCAGCTCTCCCACCTCACCAGCGCCCTCACCTAAAAGGTGTGTGCAAAGAACACTCCACTTTTTATTCATCGTGCTTGATTTGGTTCTATACTCAGCGCAAGTTCGTGAAGGACTGGTTCAGCTATCGTTCGCCAGTGATTTTAGCCGTGCGTGGGAAATTGAGCTCGGGTCACCAGGTGTATAGCGCTAACCACTGCGCTACTGCTCCACCGTTATGTCATCATAATAATAATACTAAAGGTTAATAATATTGAGCCGAGGAAGAACCCCTATTGGACGCTGGGCAATTTTAGGTGCGAGCCTGCCTTGCTAAAATATGTATTTGTGTTGAAAAGAGAAGCGCACAATCTTCATCGGTGGCAAATTAAAGACACGAGCCAGGGCCGTGCGATTGTGGCCATGCAACTCAAACTGTGGACCACGCAGTCAAGCACCTGCAAGTCCCGCGCTCCTTCAACGGAGGAGGAATCGCTAACTCCTTCCACCGAAGCCCTCTCGTCGTGGCGAACGGACCGCGGGCGTTGGCATTTAGCTCCCCCGAGCGTATTGCTGCCGCCAGCGTGTGCGAGAAACGGAACGGAGTTGAAACGAGAGATGCCTCGCGCGCGTGCGGGAGTTGCGCACCGCCGCGTGCAACAAGCGTCCAGCCGCACGAGCGCCGCTCGCAGGGCCGCTGACGCCGGGGCTGTCGCAACAGCCGTGGCTGGGGGTGCTCGCGCAGGCAGGAGCCGTTTTGCCAGCACTGCGGAGGCAGCGAGGGTTGTTGGATCGCGCAAATGTCGACGGATTGCCTTCCCGTGGGAGTCGAGGAGGAGGAGGAGCCCGTACCCTGGCTCGCCGGGAGAAGCGGTAACGTCAGCGACGTGGGCTCCCACCTCTTCTGTGTGTATGGACTCGAGTGTTTTCCCCCCCGCGCACGCATGGGATTTCTGCTCGTGCTACGGTTTCCTCTCACACGTAAACGCTCAGTGATTGGTCGGCGACACCTTCATATAGAGGACCGCAGAGCTTGGGGTGGTGGAGGGGGGGAGATTTGGCACCGACTCGCTGCCTGGCTGCTGCAACCATTCCCGCGTGTCTGTGGCCGGTTGTAAACTACATCGCTTGGTATACAGGAGGTCGTGGCTTCGATCCCGACCCTGACACCTGCTGTATATTTGGAGTTTGCGTGTCCTCCTCATGGTCGAGTGGATTTTTTTCTTTGGGTCCTCAGGTTTTTCACCTCCACATTTAGAATCAACGTCACGCGTTTATTCGAGTTGGTTGACCGCTGTAAATTTCCACGTGACGATAAGCCACTTCGTTGAGCGATCATTTGTGGCCAGGTCGTTCCTGCAAAAGAGCTACATTGCTCAGTAGGACTTAACCTGGTAAAAAAATATATATAGTTAATAGTAGCTGTGGTTCCTCCTCGTGCTTCCGAGTCGTCTTCTCGCTCTCTGTCTTTGAGAGTGAGGAGTGAGTACTGTGCGGTGGCAGCGGCTCTTTCCAACTTGACACTCTTCTTATGATTTAAAAAAAACCTGTGTCAAGGTCTGAGCCAGACTGTGCTAGAGGCCTGGCCAAGGTGGCCCCCACAGAGGTTTAAGTGGCACCCAGAGACGAAGGTTATCACCGAATAAGCAAAATAAAAAAAAATACGCAGAAATCTGATCGAGTGCACACGAGAGGCAATGACAAAAGGTGACGTTCACTCAAAAGTACCGTATGCCGATATATACGTTAATGTTATTACGTTCGTCATAAATTAACGCTTCTTTTCGGCTTACGTCTCGTTTTTACGGGGTTTGTTTTGTTTGTTTATTGTAACTCATATTTTTTGGTGTAAATAAAACCGCAGAGTAAATGCACGTCGTGTCATTTGTCCGTGCGTGCATTTTACACGGTTCCAGTCAGTTTTGCCTGCCCGCTGCATTCTGTTTACACCAAAGCCACGTGGTTAAAACCACGCTCCACCTCCCCGTGGGTCGTACACCGCTCCTCCTGGCCCTTCCCTCACCCTCCCCTCCACCCCTCATCACCTCGCAGCAGCAGCGCCTCACACGGTGTGCACAACAGTTTTTGGTTTGTAAATTACAGTGCACGGTTTTTTTTTTAATTGGGGGTGCCAGGGTGGCGAGATGTTAACTACCTCGCCTGGTATGCAGGAGGTTGTGGCTTTGATCCCGACCCTGATGCCTGCCGTATATTTGGAGTTTGTGTGTGTCTCTCTTTCTCTCTCTCCGTGGTCGCGTTGATTTTTCTCCGAGTTCTCCGGTTTTTCTCTCCACATTTAGAATCAACACGTGTTTAGAGCATTTGACCGCTATAAATTTCCACGTGATAAGCCACTTCGTTCAGCAATCGTTTTTGATGGCCAGGTCGCTTCTGAAAAAGAGCTACATAGCTCAGTGGGCCTTAGCTGGTAAAAAAATATATAGTAGTAATTACCTGTCTAGTTATTATTCTCCATATTTGTGCGTGAAAATATCTTAGTTGTGTTGGAAAGTGTTATTTTAGCAGGTTTTGGGTAAGAAACCCTTTTCTTAGGAACAGATCTTAGATAATATAATGGGACCCTATGGGACAATAGGTTTCGATATAATATTTCACTATACGTTCAGGTTTTTAAGAACACAACCCAAGCATATATTATACGCTTGTCTAACACACCGTGCTGTACGTATTCAGGTGCTGTCTTGACGGTTTCTTAATAATAAAGTGACATGAAATCAATATGGGGTCTGTTTCATTGCCTTCTGGGCCATTGTTTTTCAGAAGCATTAAGGTGGGCAAACTCTAGGCCGGTTATTCCATCCCTTTCAAATTAACTTGATTTGATTTGTTAGACGGATAGTTGCCTGGCTCTTTTGCAAGGGAGATTCGTGGTGCCTGAGCACAGAAACAACAGAAACGAGGACAAAACATCAATATTGCAGAGAACAGGGTCCTTGAGGAATGTTGCACAAAAAACGAGGTCATAAATGAAATACGTGAATAGTAAACTAAAAACAACTGTGATAATATAATACGAGAGCAATAGGCGCTAGAACAATCTAGGACCATGTGGAAGTAAGCGCTATACTTTAGTCTGACAGTGGCATAAACACACGCATGTCAAAAAAGAGATTGCAAACGTGTGGGAGCAAGAGGCGCCAAAAGATAGCAAGGTACAGGTGCTAGTGAGCTCTGAGTTTCGGCCCAATGGCAGAGATAAAGCCTGAAGAGGAAAGGAACCAAGTTCTAAATGAGCGTCAAGAGCAGGGGCGGAGCCACAGGGGGGGTTGGGGGGGGGGGGCTAAGCCCCCCCCCCCTGACATTTTGGGAAAGTCAGTAATCGGGATAACCTGATATCCGGCTGCTGCAAAATGCTGCAGGCTGCCACCTTGTGCTGCCGGCTGCCACCTTGTGCTGCCACCTTGTGCTGCCCTGCAGGCTGCCACCTTGTGCTGCCCTGCAGGCTGCTACCGTGTGCTGCCCTGCAGGCTGCCACCTCGTGCTGCCCTGCAGGCTGCTTGAGCGGCAGCCTTTCAAACTTATCGAACTTATCAGCCACATCAGCAGGTCCGACCTATTAATAAACTCCGCGTTCAAATCCAATAAAATTTGTTTTATACATTTGTGGCGCCCATTGGAAAACATAAACACTGGATATCTCAGAATATTGAAGTCAGCCCCCCCAAAGTCAAAATCCTGGCTCCGCCCCTGATCAAGAGTATTTCAGAAACGTTGAGCAGCAACGTGGAAAGACTTTTTACCAAGGTATTAGTAAATGGTATTTTTAGTAGTAATAAGGAGACATCTCTGAGGTCATGGGAGGAGTTCGAGGAACTGAGTGGTCCTTTAGGTAATTGGTGGATTTGTTTAAGAGGACCTTTAAGATGAAGACGGCCCAGTGAAATAACGTACAGGTTTCAATGATGAACTCTATAGGAGGCGTCAAGAGCAACATGGACAGCAGTGGTAGAATGGAATGAGACGTTTTTAGGTAGATTCAGAAGCTGGGTGTTTGACGATATTAAAATCATCAAATCAGGGCAGGATGGTGGTATTAACTATACAGACCAGCATCGAGGTGGAAAACCGAGTAGGAATCTTTTTTTCTTCATCTTATTGAAAGTTCGAATCCAGGATAATGCCTCGATATTTGAAGTTGTCGACCTACAATGAGTCCAGAGCCGCAATGTTCATGAGTGGAGAGACAGGTTTGGTGCAGTCAGGAGACAAAACTTTTGTCTTTTTTAGCATTGAGGACCAGTTTCAGGGCATTATGTTGAAGATTATGGAAGTCTTATTGTAGATGCTGTTCTAACTCCTCCATGCAATTTCTGGACGCTATCAGGGCTGTGTCACCAGCAAAAAAATATTAATGTCAGAGTGCAGATTATAGGTGTGTAGGTTGTTGACATGCAGGGAAAACAGGATATGGCCAAGCAGAGCTCCGAGGAACTTTTTCGTCATCAAACGCCTCAAATATCTTGATGAGAGGGGAGATGATTGAGATAGGGCCGTAGGTAATTGGTAGGGTCGTCTGTACCATCACATTGTGGGGGCCGACGTCCGCCCCACCGCCCTCGCTGGGCGGGTGGTTTGCTACTTTCACCCCCTCCACTCCCTCCTCCACCGCATCGCTCAGCTCCCGCTGAGCCACCGCCGATCGGGTGATCTGTCCTACTGCGCGAGCGCCCTCTCACCGCCGCACGGGGTTACTCCACACACACCCACGTACACCACCATTAATGTGAAGGCGGCTGCGCGAACGCGCGTTCATCCCTGCTGGCGCTTGTATTCTAATACGTGCCCATGCCACGGCCAGCGCTATAGCGGCAGCGCGAACGCGCGCGCTTCTGCGGGTGGTTTATACCCTAACCCGCGCACGCACTATGGCCAACGCGATAGCGGCGGCGCAAACACGCGTGCACCTGCAGGCGATTATTTTAACAAGCGCTCGTGCTGCGGCCGCCCACGCAGCCACTCCACACAAGGGCTCGCGTTAAACGGCTGCGCGAATACGCGTGCCGGCGGGTGGTTAATCGCTGCCCCGCACCCCACGCTAAGACTCGCTCTAAAGTGGCCGCGCGAAAACACGCACTCGAATCACAAACACTGCGACGAAGCTCTGTGCTAATGTCTTTATTCGCAGCGTAAAAAACTCTGCACTGCCCGGAGGAAATATTCTGCGAGCAGAGCTTATCCTACCACGATCTAATTCCCCAAATACTTACGCGCCCTGTCACGTACCTCGCGGCCGCACTCGCGGCGTCGCACGGACGCTGCGAGTGGCTCGAGGAGGCAGGCAGGACGTCGGTCTGGGCAGCCAGGCGGTCGGAGATAAGAAGACCCTTGAATCGTTTCTGGTTCCCTTTTTCATGCCCTGTGATTTCGAAAATCCAGGGTTACATTACATCATCCTGCGCAGCCAATCGTGCGCTTACCTTTTGATTTTCAAACGTTTTGCTGCCGTTAACTAGAGCATTACGTTACGCATTTTTTCCCGGCCCATTATCTCTGCGCTCGCATTCCTTACCCCTGACTCAGCTGGTTTAATCTGGGAGGCCGCCCGGCTGGCGAATACACACCTGCCAGTGTGCACTAGCATTTCCCTCTGACCTCATCGTCTGCGCGGTTCACTTAATATTTCACCCTGGCCCCTCCCCGGTGCGGTGAGTGACTCATTGCGGCTCGCCCGGTGAACTTCTGTGCGCCCATACAATTTTAAGCCAATTTAGGGGGGCCGCAATGCAATTTGTCCTGGGGGGGTCGGCCAATCTCCTGGCACCGGGAAACCATGGGACTTCCCACCTAGGGACCCTTCGGATGAAAACCCGTGGTGCCAGGCGATCCCCCGCCGGGACACTACGTGTCTGTGTGCGCGGCGTGTGTGCGTTCAGGGCGGAGGTAGGGGGGGGAGTTGCGGCGCTTGCGGAGTGGCTCAGTGGTCGTGGCACCACAAAATCTGTGGCGGGGGTGTACGAGAGAGGTTTTCCTTTCAGGAGGGATGGATTGCGTTTTGTCAGTGTCATTGTTGTACGATAGCTGCAGAGGCCTGGACATTGCTTCAAGCTGATTTGGATCGGGTCCAGTCCTTCCACACGCGATGCCAGAGATGCCTCCTTGGCATCCGGCGGCGTCAGAAATGTCAGTCAGCATCTGCAACCGGTCTCCTCGGGATCGAGAGCTCAGTTGGAGAG